CGAGTCGTTTATGGCACTTACTTGAGGGAATTAAACGTCTATCCTCAGATTTCTGTTAACCTTCAGAGCTCGACCAAAGAATGAATGCGGTTCATTACCAATTCTATTTTAAAACGAAACGAAAATCACTTGAGACTTCTGTGAGTCATATAGAGGCTGGTACTATGTCAAACCCACATAGGTTGATCTAGCTTCTGGACAGATCAATTGATTCATTATTCTTGAGTTACATTTTGATCTTGCCTAGTATTCGCTTATTAACCCTTGACTATTTACAAGTAAGCGAATATGTGTGTATTTCTTACCTTACTCATCACATGTATACAACTTATTTTTTTCGACCATAAATATCGATTCATGTCTAACTTACATGCCTTCCCCAATCTTTTTTGATTCACTCCTTTTTCTCTTCGCCCCCTCTGCCTAGTTCCTCTGATTGTCTGTGCAAATATATGCATTCAAAACTTCATTCTCGTATTTCAAATGGTTCAAATGGTTGTGGACGGAATAGGAGAAGCCTTCGCTTAACAGGCTTCCGTGTCTAGTAGCAGGGGATCACCAATACCTCCAGGCAAAAATCTAGGTATATTAACGACAGAAGAGAAAAAAAGAAATTGGTAAATCATAGTAAGATACTATCCTTAGTCCTTAAGAATAGATCAAGTCGCCTCTTAAAGGACTCCTGGGAAGGCGCTTGAACTAGCTCAGCCGGCAGCAAATTCCAGCATTTGGCAACTCTTAAGGAGTAGAAGTTGTGCCTGCAGTCCGTTCTACTATGTTGTATCTCTAATTTCTGGGTGTAACCCCTTAGGTTAGTGTTGGAATTAAGCTTAAGTAGATGTTTAAGAGGATGTCCAGGTGGTGGATAACGCGACGGCGTTTGAAGCGAACGGTACTGGGTTGGAGTCCTGGAGTGAACATCAACTCTGAGATGCAGTCCCAAATAGGACGAAACGCGCGTCAAACTGGATTCCACTGCTAGCCATTATACATTTTTGCTTATAATGCTTATAAATTAAGGCAATATCAAGGCAATACGCACAGTATGCACGTATGCCAATAAGAGACTTGTAGCGTGGTGTCGAGTTGAGCTGAACTATGAACACCGCTACCAGACTACTTGCCAATTAACCAATAAGATTCCGGTAGGCCAAAAATCAGAAGGCAGATGATAGTAGTAGTCGTAATATATTTGTTGGCAATCTCGTGGTATCAAAAGAATACCGAGATCGTGCCAAAGGAGTACAAGTGGGGTTACTGAGCGTAACCGGATTCGTACAAGTTCAAAGTCAACAGGAGAGTAAGTATAATGGCTGTCATTAGCACAGTTAAACAAACGAGCACAATAAAACAATAACTGGTACAATTGGTTATAATAATTGTTTTCATCGAACCAATCGCGTTCTGTTGACAAAAGTAGGTCACTACAGGAGCCCCGCGCTGGAAAGGGTTTACACTTTCGATAGTAGGTCTAGCATTGAGTCTCAAGTTATCGGGTAGGGCACTGTCATCGACGTGTGCTGGTTTGAGACGATCAATGCTGACGATCTCGACGCGGCCGTGTCGATCAACCTTGAAGGTTTTTTCGTGACGAGAGATCACGTGAAAAGGGCCTTCGTAAGGCTGTTGCAAAGGTTTGCGTACCGGATCTACTCGTATGAAAACATGTGAACAGGTAGATAACTCTCGAGGGAGAGCGACCTGTCGATGTTGTATTCGAGTTGACACCGGAGACAGCGTTCGCATAAATGCAGACAGTCGATGGACGTAGTCTGATTTACCGAAATCATTACTGCTCCGTGGTGTGAAGAATTCCCCAGGCAGACGCAATGTCGTGCCGTATACAAGTTCAGCGGCGGAACATTGGATATCTGCCTTCAGACTCGTTTTGATGCCTAAGAGAACGAGCGGTAAGGTTTCATACCAATCGTCGTTTTCGTGTGCTCGAAGAACACTTTTAAGTTGGAGATGAAACCTTTCGACTAAACCATTCGATGCTGGATGGTAGGCGGTAGTGCGTATGCGTTCCGTACCAAGCAGCCGGGTCAGTGAGGAGAATAATGCGGACTCAAATTGTTGTCCTCGGTCAGTCGTGACAGTCGAGGGACAACCGTACAATGCTATCCATCGTTCTACGAAGCGGTGAGCAACTGTCTCCGCTGTGATAGACGTGATGGGAATAGCTTCGGACCATCTTGTAAAACGGTCAATGCACGTGAGTATGTGATCATACCCATGCGATGGTGGCAATGGTCCTACAATGTCTATATGAACGTGATCAAAGCGAGCATCAGGCGTAGCGAACGTGCCAATGGGGGCAGCTACGTGCCTGTGCACTTTTGATCATTGACACTGTAAGCATTGCTTTACCCACATACGAACATCTTTACTCATGGACGGCCAGACGTATCGTGCAGCAATGAGACGTAAGGTGGCTGCGATACCTGGATGGGACAATCCATGAAGGGCATCGAAGACGAGACGGCGATAGGTAGAGGGTACGATGGGTCGAGGAAGACCGGTAGAAATATCACATAGGATAGTACCTGAGCTAGTAGCTAGGGGTACTTCCTGACACTGAAGGGATGAAGATTGTGGTGCTTCTGTACAGACAGGATCGTTTGCTTGCGCAGTGGCCATAGCAGGAAGATCGGGCACCGGTAAAGTAACTGCATTCGTCTGGATACGTGAAAGAGCATCGGCAACATAGTTCGACTCGCCTTTAATGTGACGAAGGTCTGTCGTGAACTGGGAGATATAGTCCAAATGTCTGCACTCTCGTGGTGAGTAGCGGTCAGACTTGGTATGCAGGGCATACGTTAAGGGCTTATGGTCGGTGAAAAAAATGAATTGGCGTCCTTCTACTGCGTGCCGGAAACGTTTGATGGCGCAGTAGGCTGCAAGCAGCTCGCGACCAAAAGCGCTATATCTCGTCTCCGTGGGAGTAAGGCGTCGTGAGTAAAATTCAAGCGGTTGCCAACTACCGGAGATATTCTGTTGCATGACGGCTCCTATAGCGAAATCTGATGCATCAACCGCTATACTAAGCGTGGCTGATGTGTGAAGATGAGCGAGAAGTGTTACTTGCGCGAGAGCCGTTTTGATCTCTGAGAATGCAGTACGTACGGTATCGTTCAATTCTAATTTGCGTGGATTACCGCGTAGTAAATCGGTTAATGGTCGTAACCGTTCTGCCGCGTGAGGGATGAAACGTCGGTAGAATTTAACCAAACCGAGAAAAGCCTTCAGTTCCTTGATTGAGGACGGCACGTTGTACTCCTTGATTGCTCGAATTTTGTCCTCGCAAGGCAGAATACCCTCTCGTTTGATGATGTGACCCAGAAATATTATTTCTGATTTACCCAATTCACATTTCTCTGGGTTGACTACTATTCCATTATCCGAAAGGCGTTGGAATAATAGCGTAAGGTGTTGATAATGTTCATCTACGTTTGATGATGCGATCAGCAGGTCATCAATATAGACGTGAACAAAATCCAAGTCTCGTACTATGCTATCGATAAACCTTTGGAAAGTTTGAGCAGCATTCCGTAATCCAAATGGCATTCGTAGGAACTCAAACAGACCGAAAGGAGTCGTGATAGTAGTTTTTCGATGTCTTCAAGAGCGACTGGGATCTGATGATATGCTCGTACCAGATCGATTTTAGAAAAGATAGTTGTGCCCTTGAGCGATGCCGTGATGTCGTGTATGTGGGGGATGGGGTAGGTATCAAAGCGCGTAACTACGTTTAATGCTCGGTAGTCGCCGCATGGCCTCCAACTAACCCCATCCTTTTTGCGCACCATGTGTAAAGGAGAGGCCCAAGGACTGTGAGAAGGACGAATAATACCAGCAGATAGTAAATTGTCAAACTCACGTTTAGCGAAGGCTTATTTGTCCGGTGCCAGCCGGCGTGGTCTTGCCGTGATCGGTGGTCCGCGGGTGACTATGTGGTGTACCACACGATTGGTCACCGATGACATCTCCTCGAGTGGTTTAGTTATTCTGGGGAATTTCTCGAATAAAGCGTGGAATTTATCGTCACGCGAATAAAAAGTGCCGAGGATTCGATACGCGTACATCGGAGTCTATTATATTAATACTATTCTTATCGTTATCCGTCATGTCGAGTATATTATATATTAAAAATTAATATGAAAATATATGACAGACGTGGATAGATAAAACAATAGACTCACCGAATTGCCTTCTTTGAAAGATTTGACCGAGGTTGAGGCGTGGTCCAATATTTGGCTCACCAAATGTAGCGTGGTGTCAAGTTGAGCTTAACTATGAACACCGCTACCAGACTACTTGCCAATTAACCAATAAGATTCCGGTAGGCCAAAAATCAGAAGGCAGATGATAGTAGTAGTCGTAATATATTTGTTGGCAATCTCGTGGTATCAAAAGAATACCGAGATCGTGCCAAAGGAGTACAAGTGGGGTTACTGAGCGTAACCGGATTCGTACAAGTTCAAAGTCAACAGGAGAGTAAGTATAATGGCTGTCATTAGCACAGTTAAACAAACGAGCACAATAAAACAATAACTGGTACAATTGGTTATAATAATTGTTTTCATCGAACCAATCGCGTTCTGTTGACAAAAGTAGGTCACTACAGACTGAACAATTTCAGTTTTAAACATCAATGGGAAGCTTCAAATACAACAATATCAAGTGAACTATTAAGTGACTTATCTAATTCCGTTATTCACCAACGCAGTTTAAATTAATGATATACGAGTGTTGGCGATATGCATATCTCAATAACAACCAATTGTCAGACTATATAGGGAGAGTAACTAGAATATGCGCTTATCGAAAGTTTGTGGACTTTACCTTCTCCATTTCGAAGTAACCTTTTTACAAGATCTGCGTAAGCACGGACGAACCAGAACTACCCAGATTCAGATCTCAGAGGGCAAAACATTCACATATTCTGTCTAGCAAAGTTTAAGTTGGAGCTTTGTTTTAATGGATGAAGACGAGAAGATCCTTGACTGTAACCTTTATGGGAGTGTGATTGAAAATGTTTTGTCCCGAGGTATGTTTGTTTGGTTCCTTATTGTCATTGATATTATTTCCTAAAGAGTTATATTGAGGCAAAATATTTCGCGATTCATTTTCTGTAAACGCATCTGGCAGTAAAGGTGTTGCCGCAGGACTATAATTTATGGACGACTTTTGAGCGACCCTAGTGACGTCGAGTTTAGTGGCTCTATATCTGACATGGTATGGTATGCTGATTGTTAGCATATTTTTATTGACTTAACTCGCGTTAGAAAACAATAGAACAAAGTAAGCCAAGTGTGAGGATGTTTTGAATACGTATATTTCATACACTCATTGATCCAGACAAACAGACAGACGATCGAAATGAAAGAAGCAGGACAAAACGAAGCAAAGCGACGCGCAGCGAAGTAGACACGTGAGCCAACTCATTTCGTTCAAGAGTGATTCAATATTTATAGTCAGACACTTAATGGGTAGGATAAGCAACTGACAACACGATCATATAATAAGTGAATAATCAATAAGGTCAAAATGTGGCTTGATAATGATGAATAACTTAATCTGTTCAGAGTCTAGAATAACTCATGTGGGCTTGACATAGTACCACCCACTACAAAGTCCAACCTGTAGAAAATGTGAATAATAACAAAAACTAATTAAGGAATCAGTCTGTGTTAACTATCCCCACAAGACAACTCACCTACCCACCAGAGACAAAGGGTCATAAATTAGTGTGAGGAATTAGGATTAGAATTTAGAGTTAGAAATTAAAGTAAGGTTTGCATCACGAGCTGGAATGAGGTCGATACCAAAATACCTCTTGACTATATGAATGAGTCAATTTCGCACACACTACTTCGGGTAACAGGTTCCAAGAATTGATGATGCAGTGTGTAAACCTGTATGCCACGGGTATTTGTTCTCTTTCACTACCATATTATAGTTGGATCAGTTCATTCACATTATACCACAACTTTTAGGCTTTCATAAGTCACTACTAAAATATCTGTAGTTTTCTCAGAACGTGGTGAATGATTCCATAGTTTCTTAAATGTCAAAAACTAACTTTTAGCAAGTCACCCAATGTTTCGTGGTGTGTACTGACTTCCACTCTAACTGTGATCAGTCAGTCAGCTATAACGTAGGACCAGGCACATATATGCATCGGTCCAAGCTGCCACATCTCATTAACAAATTTATGATAGTCACTTCAATGGTAGTGACATGTAAAAGCAAGATTGTATAAGGATGTAATACCCAGTGATCCCAGCAGATGCGGGAAATATTTACCACTATGGGATTTGAATCGATAACTGAATCTCTGTGCTAATGTGGTATGGCAAATCGAACTGATGTATGTACGTACGAAGTTCCACGTTGTTACTGACTGACTGAGGTCTGATCATACATTCAAGATAAGTGAATTTGTCGAGGCGTTCGACTGTTTCACTTTCTATCCTTTGTTCAGATGTTGACGCAATCCAGTCACGAAGCAGCAGTTTGTATTTAGAGGGAGGGAAACGCATCCCAAAGATCCTGGCATTGTTGCTCAGTGCTACCAAAACACTGACGAGGAACTGACGTCTGTAATATAAAACATGTTACTAATACATTCTTACAGGGTTGTTTCTGGATGACAAGATTTATGTTTGATGTGGTTAACACTAACAGGTCTGGAATGTATTGACATAATTAAGTTAAGCTCTGTAGTTGCTCTGTAAATTACTTTAAGAAGTTAAGAAGGATTAAATAGGTAAAATAATCTTATTGGTACACCACTCGTCAGATAGTTCACAAATTGTTATTATACCCGAGAATCAGGCCTAAAATTTATATTCTAACTGATTGGTGGGTGATCTACAAACCAACTTCCTTTGATCGCCTATGAAATTTCATGACTTTTGTATACAAGCACGGAATTTTACCGTTCTGAATTTAAGCATATAAATATGTCCTACTACACATAAACCAACAGCTTTAGAGTATATCAAGAAAGCTGTACAAAGTGAACTTCTTACTCTAGTTGACCTGCAGGATAGAAGTAATCTCATTCATCTTCTTGAAGTCAGAGTTGCAAATAGTTAGCGTGGTGCACAAACGTATCACATATTTAATTTAGATAGCTTGGTTAACATTTAGTGATTCGTGCCGATTGTGATACTAGTCAGAAATTTTACTTATGAAGCACAATAACCATGAACGGGTTCGTATACAGTCATTCAGCTACAACGTAAGACCAGGCACATATATGCATCGGTCCAAGTTGCCACACTTCATTAGCACAACAAGATGAACACCGGATTCATATAAGCAGTTAATTCAGTGGTGGTAATATATAAAAGAAAGATTGCATGTAAGGATATAGTACAGAAAGAAAGAATTAGTAGGTAGAAAGAAAGATATGAAGCGATTTTAATCTCTTAGTTTACGGGAAGACAGAGTGTATACACCTACAACATTGTGATCGATTGTCAGCCATGTCACCTCGAGTTTCCAACCATTGGTTACGATAGTCACGCGGACCCCAACCAAGTAGTCTCTATCTACCAACATGACTCAGACCAAAACTTAATGACTTCAAGCACTGATGCCACGTCTTGGTTTGGCCACCCCTCACTTTCTTCCATCCGTCTCCAACACTGGTCAGCATAGTGTGTGGTGGTAATCGTTGTTCAAGCATATGCAACATGTGGTCCAACCATCTCAGTTGATGAAGATTCACAACCTCATCAACTGATTTACCATCATTCCCTAATACCCTGCATCTAACCTCACTATTACTTACCCGGTGATCCCAGCAGATCCCAGCAATATTTCTGAGGCATTTGTGGTCGGTTCGTATGCTGGGTTATGCATTTCCTATAGAATTGAAAAAAAAACAGCATGTCCGTACCTAAATACGTTTCTTGACCCTGAAATTATTAATCACTAATCTAGACCACATTAGGAAAGGAAAAAAGTCAGCACAGAAAGTAGCCGTTACGTACATTTAAAGGTATGATTCAGAATCAACCTTATTGTTGCAGTTGTAATCTTTCTCGTTAAGTTTCGAGTTAAGTGTCATCCAGTACTTTTAGTTTCTTTTTCTCGTTTCCTCATCCTTAGCTTTCCGATGCAATTAATTTCATTATTTCCATTGCCCTGAAAGGTTTACCCCTGATATTTTTAAGGATGGCGGTCCAGTATTAGCAGCGAGATTGACTGAGGTCTTAGGTAGAATCTGGGAACTGGACGTAATCCCATCTGACTGGTCTCAATCACTGATTGTACCAGTCTATAAGAAAGGACAAAAGTCCTTCTGTGACAATCACAGAGGAATTAGTTTGACTAATATAGTGTCTAGAATATTAGCTTCAATAATACTTCGACGTCTAACCAAAGCTCTTGAAGAGCAGACTAGAGAAAACCAGGCTGGTTTCCGACCTGGACGTGGTTGTATAGACCAAATATTCACACTACGTCAGGTCCTAGAACATAGACACACATTCAGACGCCCCACAATCGTAGTATTTCTCGACCTTAAGGCGGTATTCGACTCTGTTGATCGTGAGGTTCTATGACTGTTTGTCACTGAAAGTAGTACCAAAGAAGTACATTAACCTTATAAAGGCTCTCAACTCAAACACAACTGGTCGAGTGAGAGCTTATGGCGAACTGTGATCAGAATTGATTACCTCAAGTGGTGTTCGTCGGGACTGTCCACTCTCTCTATTTTTGTTTAACTTTGTTGTTGACGTCCTTTTAGAGATGACACTTTCCTCATTTACATTTCCAGGAGTTGAACTTTTACCGGGAGATTCACTTTTTGACTTAGAATATGCCGATGACATAGTTCTATTTAGTGAAGACGCTGACAAAATGCAGAGTCTGCTGACCACTCTAAGCAACAATGCAAGCATGTTCGGCATGCAATTTTTTCCCTCGAAATGCAAAATGTTGCTTCAGGATTGGGTTGCACCGCCACTCGAACTAGTGATAGGGAGTGAAGTAGTTGAGCGTGTCGACCGCTTCACTTATCTCGGAAGTCTCATCAGCCCTTGTGGTCTGGTGTGTGACGAAATCTCAGTACGGATACAGAAGGCTCGACTAGCTTTTGCCAACTTGCGTCATTTGTGGTGTAGGCGAGATATCCGTCTATCAACCAAAAGGCGGGTTTACTGCGCAGCAGTTCGTTTGGTGCTACTTTATGGCAGTGAAACATGGCCAGTAAGAGTAGAGGATATTCGTAGGTTACTAGTATTTGATCATAGGTGTCTTCGAAACATTGCTCGTATATCCTGGGACCACTGAGTAAGTAATGCAGTTGTTAGGAAAAAGGTATTTGGTGAGGATGGCAAACCAATTGATGAATTAGTGAAACGTCATCAGTTCAGATGGCTTGGACATGTGTTGCGCATGCCCGACCACCGACTGCCACGACATGCGATGTTTTATGGTGTAGGAGTAGGTTGGAAGAAAGCTAGTGGCGGCCAGACCAAAACATGACACAAATCCATGAAGTCACTGACAAGTGGACTGAGCCATGTTTGTAAATGTAGATTACTTGGTTGGGAACCGCGAGATGATAGCAACCGATGGTTAGAGATCTTGAATGACATGGCTCAAAATCGTTTGCAATGGCTCAGGTGCATCCACTCTCTGTGTTCTCTCAAACTCTAATCTTCTGTATTCTTCATGTCCTTTATTTTCTTTCCAAATTTATTCCACTGGACTATACTCCTTAAGTAACATCATCAAACCTTAATGTTCTCTATCACTACTTATACTTTCACTACCTTTACCACTATGGGATTTGAATCGATAACTGAATCTCTGTGCTAATGTGGTATGGCAAATCGAACTGATGTATGTACGTACGAAGTTCCACTTTGTTACTGACTGACTGAATCTATCTTGTTAATTTTCACTATTACCATCTCAATGTGAAGTATCACATTTATTTATTTATTTGAACACCTAAATATTGGTACGAAGAGGCATCGAATAAACATGCTCCACATAAATCATTCGATTTGTGTGTGGGCCATGATACTGATCGGATGCACAGACCGAAGTATGTGGATTTCTTAGGAGATCATACCCGGAGCCTTCGACCTATAGATCTGGTCCACAAGGCAGTGAAGCAACGTTAGGAGATGAAATTCCGTGGCAACTGGTGACCAACCATTGGTTCATACGCCATTTGTTCCATCAGGATCCTGGAATTGGGCTGTAAGCTTTAAATCATTGGTTACATCTTAAATTCTTTAACCACTAAATCGCTGCCAGCGTGCATTTGTTAACAATAGTACGGTGTACGGCTCAGCAATTCCCTGACTCAGCTCTCTGTTGAACCATATCTAGCGACATAATCCTAAATAGCATCATGTACTTGTAGCCTCCAGTATCTGTTATAACCAATATAAAGCCTGATACATTTGTCATATATATATATATATATATATATATATATATATATATATATATATATATATATATATATCAATGCCCTGGTACGGCCGAGAGTGGGGAGAGTCCGCTCCTCCTCTCGAAATGCTCTCACATGGCCACGCGTATATAGCCTCTGCCAAGGAAGTCCTACTCATCGCCTTCCCGTGGCGGGGGTGCTGTTTACGAAAATGAGAGGACGAAAAGCAAATGTCTGGTGCTTTAACCGGACCACAAACCAATGGTGCACATGGGCTCCAGTATCCTGCGGGAACAAATGGCGTATGAACCAATCGTTGGTCACCGGCTACCATGGGACTGCATCTCCTCACGATGCTCCACTGCCTTGTGGGTCAGACGTTCAGGTCGAAGGCTCCGGGTGTGGCCCCTTAAGAAAACCACCTGCTTCGGTTTGGGCACCCGGGCAGTATCACAGCCCTCACACAAATCAATTGAGATTCGTGTGGCGCATATGTATTTGGTGCCTCCCTGTACCTATACTTATGTGTTAAAATAAATTATATATATATATATATATATATATTACAGGGAATAACTGTTATTGTTCATCAACTTAAAGGTTGATACAAACTTATTTTCACTCAAGTTTCCATTTCACGTTAATACGACGAGATAAATTCTTTAAAAATCAGTAGCATAAGAATGGAAACAATATAGCTGGAGTGATAAAGAGAAAGACCAAACATTGACGACTTAGTCCAAAAAGACAAGGAATAGGTTTATATAAAAGAATACTGGAACTAACTACCTGGATCAAAATGAAAGTGATTAAATGCGCGTCACTGTTACCACTTCTGAACCATTCCTCCCAAAGTCTCTAACGAATAATCTTATAAGGATTCATTAAAATCGTAAAGTAGTACTGAGATCAAACCTAACGTTTTGTTTTAGGAATGTAAGTGCATTTGCTTCTATAACAAGTAGTTTTGTAATGTATTTTATGTTGCTAAATTTTTCGCAAGTTTATGCAATTATCATCGATAAGGTCAAGAACAATCCTATAACCAATCGTTTAATGATAAACTGTCATAATTATATGGCTTGTGGGTAGTTATAATTGATATCAAACTTTGAACTTTTAACTCAGAGACTTCGTTTAAAGATTTGCATTTTTATTATATCGTCTAGTTTTGGTTTTGCTATGAATGCATTAGTAGTTTGTAGCTAGTATTTTTCAGCTCCAAATTATTCTAAAATGTTAATAATGACATTCTCCAATTTAGAGGGGACTAAAAGTTGGCTACTAATTGTATAACAACTCATGGCACGAACTTGCTCGAATAATTCCCAGTCCACGTGTATCTGGTTTCCAAAAACTAATATATCAACAAGTAATAGTCTAGGTGGCTGGTGACAGATCCTTAATACAACAAGCTTCTCATTAAAGACTTATGGTGCTATTTATAGTATCCACCTGCAAGTTATGAAGTATTGGATTGGATTTCAACTGTTGCTTTTCCGATCTCGGGGACCAAACAGTATCAAAGTGTTCGCAGAAAAAATGTCTGGAAATCCATTTGTTCACGAATATGTACGTGAATAAACGAATTAGTTTTTTTGCATGCATGTAGTTCGGAATAAGGCTGTTTACGAGGCATTCATTTGTTAATATTATTGTAAACTAGCGTACATGGCTCCGAAAAAAAACATGTTTATCACTGGAGCCATTGTTCAGCTTTTCTAGAGCTTTGGACCGGTGAGCTACTATTCCACTTCAAATCTTTCTTTCTAGGAACTAATTCTTTCTTCCTGTACTATCTCCTTATACACAATCTTCTATATATTACCACCACTGAATTAACTGCTTATATGAATCCGGTGTTCATCTTGTTGTGCTAATGAAGTGTGGCAACTTAGACCGATGCATATATGTGCCTGGTCCTACGTTGCAGCTGACTGACTGACCGTTCACCTACTTAGACTTGGGCTACTAGGTATCGTTAATTGGCTGACAAAATGTGTTTTCTGTTTTCGACTTGAAAAACAATTACAGTCTACTGTCATGGACTAAATTTTATAGCTCAATATTGGTTTCAGTGGCCAAATTTATCGTCATTTAAATCTCAAACATTATATTCCAAATTCCTTTACTCTCTTTCTTCCATTTTGGTCTACTTTCACGCCTGTAGTTGTTGTTTTCTCCATTTTTCGGTTTTCATTTTATATTTTGATATGCATCAGGGAAAAGTAAGTCGGTAGCTGAATAACACTCATCTCCATCCTAATAAACAGAATTATAACTGACTGGAGCGTTCTTATCACATGTTTTCTGAATTTCTCCTGAAGTTCCAAGGTGTTCAAAGAAAAGAATACCTACTGTACACACCTGTAATTGTGGAAAACTTGATTGGCTATGACGCCTATGCGAATTAATATTTTTGGTCAGTAATGTTAATTATTGATGTCAGCTTTTCTATGTAATATACTTGAGGCATTCAAGACTAAATCACAAAAAGTACAGTTGGGGTGCTCATATCAATATCAGCTCAACAGGAACTTCTCGCGATCGTGCAAATACAAGTCTAATAATCAATATTAAGTCAGGAAGAACATTGATAAACTAGATTCAAGTCTCCTATCTCGTCTTTCTATTCGGGTGGTTCTTTTTAAAATTTATTTTCCTTTGTTAAGATTTCCACTGAAATCGGTATCTTCATTCTTTTTTCTTTCGTCTTGTTCACTTTCTCCCTCACTCAGATAATGTAGAATAAGGCCATGTTTCACTCTGTTTATATCTGTGCCTTTCTAAACAAAATATGACATTACTAATTTCATACCAATGATACTGTTACTATTTCTACTACCCTTCCATTTGTCTTAATGATTTCACTTCACTGTACTAATATGGTGTGACAACTTGAACCATTGCACATGTGTTCCAGATTCCATGTTGTTTATGACTGACTGACTATTTTATTATATTTGAACACAAACAATGGTACAAGGGGGCACTAAATGCATATGCGCCACACAATAACAATGAGGTTGTGGAGAAATAGAGAATATAAAGTGCGTATAATAAAAAGAAGAACAACGACGAACAGAAATGAATATATGAGAGTGAAATAGTAATAATGATTTTGGGAGAAACAGTTCAGTAAGACAGAATACAACCGGGAAGTATCCTTCCAGATAAGAAAGTTACATTCACTTGTATGAAGAAATTAAAAGAAAGTTACATCAGGATGGCCACTGGCTTCTATTCTGAGCCATGTTTGTTAACGTTCCAATAGTGTTGTATCGTCTCTAGGACCATAAACAAGAAATCGTGAAGGACCGACAGAAGCAGGTCCTATACAGCTTTCTTTCATACCGCGACATCATGTCATATACTGACCACCTCTCCACTTTTTCCAACCAGTCCCAGCGTCGGCAAATAATGCGCGACGTGGGATTCTCTGGGACGACATTCGTAGAACATGTCCAAGCCACCGAAGTCGATGTTTCAAGATGGTGACAATAATTGGATTATCCTCTCTGTGCCCGAACACACGATGCCGAACCTCTGTATTACTAACATGATGTTGCCATTGGATGTCAGCAATCCTTCAGTGACAACAATGACCAAACACAGAGAGTCGTCTAACATCCTCAAACCTGAGATGCCAGGTTTCACAAGCATAAAGCAAAACTGGTCTCATTGACGCGTTGTAGATCCGACCTTTAACAACCAGACTAACATCACTTATGCGCCGAAAATGGACCAGATTGGCATAAGCCTCTTTGGTTTCACTATACGTGAATTGATCCCATCATTCACACCACCACCGATACTTGCTCGGCTACCCAGGCACACTAATTCGACTTCTATCCACTCACCACCCAGAGTGAGTGCAGTTTCAGGGTTCTGCCAGTCTTATAAAAGTACTTTGCACTTGGAACGTTCAGGGCACATACAATACCTGCAGACACTGGTTGCCAACTGATTAAGTGCGGATTGCATAAGTTGGCTATCAGCACACAGTCAGTCAGTCAGTCAGAAACAACGTGGAACTTCGTACGTACGTACATCAGTTCGAGTTGCCATACCACATTAGCACAGAGATTCAGTTATCGTCTCAAATCCCGTAGTGGCAGAGTAGTGAAAGTATAAGTAGTGACAGGGAACGTTAAGGTTTGACAATATCATCCCCATACTCAAGGTCGAAAAGTCTTTCTCCAAGCAACATCTCCACACCATTGCTTACATCCATCAGAGCTGTTTATATGCAAAGTTGGAGAGGAATGGTGATATTTGACTGCCCTGTCTAACCCCTCTGCTTGAATGAAACGATGAAGGAAGGTGGTTGTGTACCCTCACTCTGCCTGAAGTGTTATTATATAGGGCTTTCAAAATGTTAATAAACTTTCCAGATACACTTATCGTCAATAAACGATCCCAGAGAACAGTCTTGTCCAACGAATCGAAGGCGACCCTAATGTTAAGAATCACTACGATTGTTGGTCTGTGATAAGTATGACGGTTTTATAACATTTGGCGGAGGGTGAAGATATGGTCAATACATCATCGACCAGGACGAAAACCAGCCTGCTTCTCGCAAGTCAATCTTTCTCGGATTTCGGAACAATCTATGAAGTATAACGGAAGCCTATAGGTTGGACGCAACGGGAAGTAGACTTATCCCCAGATAGTTGTTACAGAGACGATGTGAATCTTTTTTAAAGATAGGAACAATTATTGACTCATTCCACGATGTTGGAACACTCTAATTGACAGACCTTTGTTCACAACTCAGTCAGTTCCCTAACCATAAAGTCACCACCATCTTTAAAAAGGGTCAAAGGTAAACCTTCTATTTGATCCCGGTGATTTGTAGCGCTTTAAGAGTTGGAGTTCCTTGCAGACTCCCGCCTCATTTGGTGGATCAATCGTCACAGGGTATAGAGGGTAGGACAGTCTGATCGATGTTGCCAGGGCAGCAGACTAGTTGAACAGCTCCTCGAAAAATTGCCCATCCATCGTCCAAGACGTCGATAAATGTTAGTGATTGGCATCCCATCACCTTCACAGATTGTTTCACTCACACCAAACGTCTTGCTGCCAGTTAATCATATTAGTTGAAAGAGCTTCCGACAATTACCGGATGTAGCTGCTGCTTCCAACTCATTGGCACGCTCCGACCACCAGGCTTCTCGATCCTTACGCAAGCCTTGCACAATTCCATTACGTAACAGTTCGTTTATGATTAAGCTCGTGGTCATCCGAAATAGATTGACGGGCTTCAATGAGTTGCTTATAGGCGGGATGTTTCGCAAAGTCGTGAGAGAATCTACTCGCCGTTTCCATGGCGTCATGCAATTCTAGCCAACGCTCATCTATATTTTTCGGTGGGCAAACAAGGGAGTGATCAGAGTCCAGATAGGTACTCCAAAAAGAGCGGCAGTCTTGTACACAACCACGTAAGCTATTGCTGATCACGATGTGATCAATCTCAGTCCAAGCTTGAGATGCAGATTGAGGGCTCCAGGTGGCACATCGGCGATGACTGTGCCGGTAGTTAGTGCTAGCCAGAAACAGGTTGTGGTCTGCACACAATTTCAGTAGACGATCCTCGTTATCTGACTTGCGACCAACTAATCCCCATCGAACTTATCTTAACAACAGACATCTCCAATACTAGTATAAACAGCAAACAATGAATCTAACGTTTCGTTATTATTTAGAGGAAATAGTATTTAGTATATATTACAGAGTTACTATTATTTTTATTATCAAGGTTTTGAGTTTCCTGTTTATCTGTAACATTTTATACATTCATTCATTCATGTGTTTTTTTCTCATAATAGCCACAAATTCAGATCAATTCTGTGAATAATCTCACTACAACTATTCAGAATACGTTACAAATGACAGTTTCAACACTACTAAATCAAATTTTAGAAAATTCAAATATTGTAAGTTTGAAATATTGAACTTTTATTTAAACTGTTAGAGAAACATTAATTCTACGACAGTTTATATAAAAGATATTAAAACTGTTCAACAGAAGTTAGAAATAATGGCTACTAGTGGGAAAGACAAATTGTAAGTGTCTATAATTTTATTTATTTATTCATTTTTGTATAAATTTCTTCAGTTTGAAGATAGTTTTTCTAACAAAGTGATACGTGGTGAAAAATTATTCAGAAACTGACAGTTTCATCCTAACTTAGAACTACTCACACATTCACAGACGAACACAAAGTATTTGGAATTAAAATAAACTAAACTATCTTCAAAGCACTGAGTTGATGCTGATTGTTGATATTATTTAGAACTTACAGCTTATATGATTTGACTTTACAAAGAGTGTGGAAGAAATCGACTCCTCTAGGGAGTATCAGTTCTCTTAAGATTATAGGTAAACCTTGTTGACGAGCGTCAAATAGTACGAAATATAGACCTCGGGGTCTCCTTTTGACTACCTCCGACAACCACCATCTAACGGCGAAGTCTAATATTTCAACCAAATAAGAGGTTTTAATTGTGAGGCTTGGTGCAGTTCAAGGGAGATACTAATGACCGCGGTACTACTACTACTACCTCAGTACTATTTTTGTTTGAATCCCAATCTATCGCTCTTCCTGATTGATTTTAGACACCACACTCACTACTTATAACTCATGATAATTTACTGAGTGAAAATAACCACCTTTTGTTTAAAATGTACTAGTTATTGTCTGTACTTTTGCGTCCTTTATCTCCGACATAAAACTGATTGACTTTTGCTCGATAAATATTATCAAGTTATTGAAATATAATTAGAATTCACTTGAATCTAGAATCCAAACCGTCGTCGAAGTATAACTGCTTAACTTAACGCGTTACTTATATATAGTTGGTTTATCTATAGTCATCTTGATTCTTTTTTTGGCTTCTTTTAGAGAAATTATTACAGATTTCGATCGTACACTATCAAAATATTGTCATGATGGTGAACTTGTTCCAACTTCTTATGGTAACTTGTTTCAAATTTCTGTAATACATCTTTGTCTCCAGGTATTTTTGAATCAGATCCTGAATTAACGGAAACAGCAAAATCCATGGTGGGTGGTCATCTACTGATTTAAAGAAAAACTCATATGTGTTTTCAGTTTCGAGTAGTTATTAGATTTATTGGTACTCATACTGTTTGGTCATCACTTACTTACGCCTGTTACCCCTCATGGAGGAGCATATGCCGCCCACCATTATTGTAGAGTGATGGATTAATGCTTGTAGACTACTCAGCTTCTAACCAATAGGTTGCAGGTTTGACTCCCGTTCTATACATTTCGTTTTGGATAGCTCTGTTATTATCACTGAAGTATTACTCAAAACCCGGTGTGTAAACCTGAATTACAATAGAACGTTGAAAAAACGAAGTGTTATATATATCTCGTTTAGAGTTGTATAACCATGTTTTGAGATGCTATTTCACCGACTTTGATTTATACAGCTGGATCACATATGTCTTGTATTTGAATATTGAGTATCTCAAAGTTGATCATATTAAACATGCTTAAACCTGTTTAGTGATTTGTGTCAGTATTTCCCATTTTAAACTCTCTAAAATGAAGTATAAAATCTTAGAATTTCATCCCGACTATTCTGTATTTGACTCATCATTTCATCACTGACTAACAATAATAGGTTTACTAGTACTAGTGTTAAAGACGTGTATCCTTATCAAATGTTAGCTGCTAAACTGCAAGACGTTTTCCATAAGCTGTAACAGATGGAGTTCAAGCATATCGGGTGTGAGACGGTCACCTACTAAATGACGTAGTAAGATTTTCGGGTGACACTGAGAATTAATTAAATTTGGAAATTTAAACCATTTGATGCTCGGTTAGCGGTCCAAATGTTTAGCGTTTGCTGTGGGATCTGAAGATCCTGTGTTCGATTCCCAGTGAATTCGTCAATAAACTAGTGTATGGGGGAGAACGATAAAGATTGGTTGTTTGCTTAGTCAGAGTAGTAGATATCCTGACAGGTACTTAATGAATTATATATTCTCCTACCCTTGTTATAATTGAATTGTTGTCCGTTTTTCGTGTGGAAATATACTTGCGTTCTAGTCAGGCTAGTCACGTTTTCTTGATCTGAGTTGTGTTGAAGTCCTGTAGTATAGACACTGGTAGAGTATCTAGTGTAGATATTCGTATACGGTAAATTGCCCCCAAATGCCCTGGTACAGCTGAGAGTGGGGAGAGTCCACTCTCCCTCTCGAAATGCTCTCACATGGCCACGCGTATATAACCTCTGCCAAGGAAGTCCTACTCATCGCCTTCCCGTGGCGAGGGTGTTGTTTACGAAAATGAGAGGACGAAAAGCAAATGTCCGGTGCTTTAACCGGATCCCAAACCAATGGTGCACATGGGCTCCAGTATCCTGCGGGAACAAATGGCGTATGAACCAATCGTCGGTCACCGGCTACCATGGGATTGCATCTCCTTACGGTGCTCCACTGCCTTGTGGGTCAGACATTCAGGTCGAAGGCTCGGGTTATGGCCCCTTAAGAAAACCACCTGCTTCGGTTTGGGCACCCGGGTCGTATCACAGCCCTCACACATATCAAATGAGATCTGTGTGGCGCATATGTATTTGGTGGCTCTTTGTACCATTATCTATGTGTTAAAATAAATAAATAAATACGGCAAATTAGCGTTTCATACATGTAGACGGTAAATCGAGCGTTATAACATATACACTGCTAAATAGCCTCATATCAGGACGAAACAACTGTCCAGTGCCTCCTAGTTTTTCATGGTTGTCTAACTATTGTTAGTTCGTGATGTAATCTAAAAAGTTCAAAACCTAAGCAAGCTTTCTCAAACAATAAATATTTCCATCCCCTAGTTTTCAGTGCTTTCATTTTTTTCTCGAAATTAATTACAGTCAATTATAATAAGAATTTAATAAATTGAAAATTATGTATCTGTTTTTGGTCTCATTTTCATTTCTATATCACATTTTATTAAATATTAGCTTATAAGTCTACGGAACAAATACTATCCTATTGAATTGGATAATAATCTTACAGAAAATGAAAAAACCCCGTATATGTTAGAATGGTGGGAACTAGCTCATGAAGTAATTATTGAATGTGGAATACAAAAACACACATTAGAAAAAACTGTTAAAGAATGCCATCTAGTATTACGGTGAGTAGTTAGTTGTCATGTCTTTTTTAAATTCTTGTTTTTAAAATAAGATATTCATTTTAAATGAATAAATTTCCTTTTGAGGTGATCAAGTAAATTGCTTAATCTTGTAAAAATTATCAGTTTCAGGGGTTATCGAGATTGTTAAGTTTTTGATTAAGATCATGAGTCATTTGAAGCTAAGCCACCATTGAAAACCTGAAAGCACTGGACGGCCGTTTCGTCCTACTATGGGACTCCTAAGTAGTGCGTATCCACAATCCCTCCCGCGGGATTCGAGCCCAAGGACTTCGGTCTCGCGCGCGAACGCTTAATTTCTAGACCACTGAGCAGACATTCAGCGGTGTTAATGTCTAACCTCAACCAATCCACGAAATTGCGCAACCATTTTCCATTGCACTGAAGTAGATACCTATCTCTACCCGACACGGATTAGCTCCACTAGTCATGGCTTCTTATTAAAACTCTGAAAATTGATCTAACATCAATCGGTTCATGATCTCAATGAAAAACTAGCTTCGTGAAAAAATTATCGGAGTTCTAGCGAGAAGCCATGACTAGTGGAGCTAATCCGTGTCGGGTAGAGATAGGTATCTACTTCAGTACAATGGAAAATGGTTGCGCAATTTCGTGGATTGGTTGAGGTTAGACATTAACACCGCTGAATGTCTGCTCAGTGGTCTAGAAATTAAGCGTTCGCGCGCGAAACCGAAGTCCTTGGGCTCGAATCCCGCGGGAGGGATTGTGGATACGCACTACTTAGGAGTCCCATAGTAGGATGAAACGGCCGTTCAGTGCTTTCAGGTTTTCAATGGTGATTCAGCTTCAAATGACTCATGATTTCAATCAAATACTTAACTTTTATCTATTCGTCATTTGTAGGAAAGTCAGTGATACTTACAAATTGGCAGCTTAAAATAAGTAACATAATATTTGAACCTGGAATTTATTGATTGAAAGTTGAATGTTTTAACCAGTTAGTCACAGTTTATTTTATTACTAAGACATTTTTTCGTTAATCTAGAATGATTAACACTTCAAAATCGTATTATTTCATGTATTAAGCTTAACTTTCATACTTTCCACTATACATTAGTTTATTCTTAAATCTCAGGTTATTCATGTGTATATTTAGTTTTAAAATTGTTATAACGCTCAGCTTTACTTCATCTAATGTTATAATGTTTGGTTTCCCACGTTTACACGTATGGGACGTTAATTTACCTTAGATGAAAATCTACACTAGATTTCCTCCCAGTGTCTACAGGACTTCAACACAACTCAGGTGATCAAGAATACGTGATTAGCCTGACCACAACGTAAATATATTTCCACACCAAAACCCGACACAATCCAACAACAATGAACAATCAATAATGAGTAGTAATAATAAGGATAGGGGAATATATAACTCATCTAACACCTGTCAGACTATCTACATTGTCTGACTAAGCAGACAATCCATCATCATCATTCTCGTCCACACATCAAAAAATTGTTCTCTTTTTTTAAATATGATTGTTAACTATATTCTGGAACTATATTTCCAGTTGTTTCTATGATTCTAATTTTATATTTTTTTTGTTTTATAACTTCAGTGATAAAGTGAGTGAATTTTTCCAATTATTATCGGATTATCATATACCAGTATTGGTTTTCTCAGCTGGACTTGGGGATGTAATTGATTTATGCCTTCATCATGCAAATGTTTTTCATGATAATATGCGTGTTGTTTCAAATTTTATGCAGTTCAATGATGATGTAAGCGTTATTTTATTAATATTATGATTATTATTTTAGTAGTACTGTAATAGTTTACCACTCAAGTACCATCTTTCTAAGAATCATCAGGACACATAAATATAGCACAACTATAGATTAATTATATTGTCAGTTTGACAATAAACAACAAACTAAGTATTTCATTTTCTACTGGCTAATAAACAAAAAAATACGAGATTTATTTCATTCGAAACAGTATTTGACTATATTTTCTGTTATACATTGACTATTAAGAGGTTATTTATTTATTTATTTTATTTTAACATATAGGTATACATACAAGGAGGCACCAAGTACATATGCGCCACACGAATCTCGATTGATTTGTGTGAGGGCTGTGATACTGCCCGGGTATCCAAACCGAAGCAGGTGGTTTTCTTAGGGGGCCACAGCCCGAGCCTTCGACCTGAACGTCTAACCCACAAGGCAGTGGAGCATCGTAAGGAGATGCAATCCCATGGTAGCCGGTGACCAACGATTGGTTCATACGCCATTTGTTCCCGCAGGATACTGGAGCCCATGTGCACCATTGGTTTGGGATCCGGTTATAGCGCCGGAAATTCGCTTTTCGTCCTCTAATTTTTGTAAACAACACCCCCGCCACGAGAAGGCAGTGAGTTGGACTTCCCTGGCAGAGGCTATATACGCATGGCCATGTGAGAGCATTTCGAGAGGGAGAGCGGACTCTCCCCACTCTCGGTCGTACCAGGGCATTTGGGTTAGTCACAACCTAAGTGTATCATTATTAGCATTTCAGCATGTGATGCAATGGTGCGGGTTTCAGTCTCATGGGAAGACAAATACCCCTCAAATTTTCACGTGTATATCCAGCTGACGATTGTCAACTAGTTTGAAACCCAGATCTATAAGATCCCCTCCTGAGTACCTTTAATCAGCTAAAAGTTAAATTATATTTTCATTCTTCGAATAACACGATCTTATATTCGGTTATTGATATGATTTTTTTATTCTTAAAAATAATTTACGTCATAGGTTTATATCAGTTAGAATATTCATTTAAACCTAACTCAGGATAGTTGTTTCAGTCTTCTTTACGATTCTTCAACAGTGTCCATGTATCTGTAACGCCACTGAGTTCGAATCCAATGATATAAATTTCTGATTAATTATGTATATCAGACATCCATTAGTGCAGACAGACGATAAGAGATATGGATCGGAAAAGGCAAACCTTTCTACTGGATGAATAATAAGCAGCTCATTCGTTATATCACGATGACTAATGGTTTAAATCACAGAAAACCGAAAACAGTAACGATAATAGACACATATATGGCAAGTTCACATGGAATTAATTATCAATGTCATAATTGAGAAAGTACATAGGAAGATAGTAAAATATCTGATCAGATTAAAATGATATATTCAATAATGACCAGACAAAATCAACTACCTAGTAGTGTGATATGTTTTAATTTTAAAGGCTGTTTATTTTTAGCGACGATCTAAAGTATTTAAATTTCTATAGAACAATAAGAAGAGTTGATCTGAAACATGTGATGTATTTGCGCTATACATTTCGAATAATCTGGTCACACATATACTTGTCAGGGCATTTTATATGTATTTACCAATTTACATGTTTGTGTGGATACACATACATAGGGAGGAATAATCGAACACTGAAATCAAGGGTGCCTAGATGGCTTCAAAATCAATGTGCGTAAAATGATCCGATCAACATGGGAGGTAGAAAACCAGGTTCATCGATAGCGAAACATATAATTGAAACGGGGCACAAAATTGACATAAATGCAGCTTTTAGAACGTTGTATAGAAATTGTCAAGGACGAAGTTTATTGAACCCTTTGCTATTCGTAAATTTAAACCCCCCTTATGTGTACAAAAGCAATTTATCGTAACCTTAAATTTACCTTGGTAATCCTTAAGTCATTCTATGGCCTAAGATAACGCGACAATTTCTTATTCTTTCTATACGATGTAAAATTGTTTCTCTCTTATTACTTTTTTTACCTGAACTTTCATTCAATTGACCTTTATTAATTTTCATAAAAAATGCCCTAACAAGTATGTGTGACTAGATTGTTCGAAATGTATAGCGCAAATACTTCATATGTTTCAGATCAACTCCGTCTTCTCATTGTTCTACCGAGATCTAAAGTATCGATCAAAGTATACCTATCTATTACATTGTTTTTAAACATAAATGGTTAATGAGTTTGTAGGTATCATTACCAAGGTTTGATTTGATAATTTCGAATAAATTGAGCATTGGGTTGATTGTTATAAATAAATAATATATTTGTAATATCCCAATGAGTAGAAAATTAGATTTTCTGACGTTTCGTGGCTTAGTGTAAGTCACTTCTTCAGAGAATAAATAATCAAATTAAAATTAATCCAAGTTTAAATAGTACAACGGAACAATACAAGAATAATATTTGATCAATCAAAAAACAGATATGAACAAGTTGATGTCATCAACTTTCTACAGTGACTTTTCTGTGATTTAACTTGATTCATACATGTAAGAATACACCAAACACCTATTATTACATTTTAAAGAGTGAACATTGTTAACTTATCAGTCTTGTTCTTTCTGATAATGTATTTAAGAGAGGTTAGACAAAATGTTGATTATGCGAACAAAACTGTGACTGGGTGACTCAGGTTCTTTAGAACCCCATAGGGAGCATCCATTCCCTTAGAATTGAAGGATACACCTTGTTGACGAGTGTTAACGAGCACGAAGTCTGGATCCAGGGTTTTCTGCCAACTTCATCTCAATATAGTGCATGTAATGTCGAATCACTCAGACTGGTAGCCACATTGATAGAATTTGATCAGCACTAGAAAGCATGATATTAATCAATACCCAGTGATCAATTGTTCCGTATAAATATAATCACAATTCACATCAAATATAGTATGGAAAATGGCATACTAAACCGGTCGGCAAACACTAACAAAAGAGAAGCATCTTTGATTGCGGTTAAATCAAAAAAACACATTGTGATTAGCTTTGGCTTCAAAAATCGATTGTTCGAAATGTTAAACAATAAATAAAAAGAAAGCAAATGTGTTTCACCAAAATAATTTTAAAAACCAAACTATTCACAACAGTAGTGTGTCTAATCAATTGAATGCACTTTAATTCTCCTGTTAATAAAGAGAAATTTATCACTTAATGTATTATATCAGTCGTTATGCATACATCATCCTATTTCAACCTTTACTCACTTTTTCTTCAGTTGGACTCAGTGTATTGTTCTGAATCTGAATAGTAATTTTTAGAAAATATTATCCTTATCTAACATTATTATTATTTATATTGTTCTGTAGGGTAAATTAACTGGATTCAGTTCACCGATTATTCATGTATTTAATAAAACAGCTGGTTCTATTACAAATAATGGTATACCTAAACGTCCTAATGTTTTATTACTTGGCGATTCTTCTGGTGATGTGCACATGGCTGATGGCGCTACTGTTGATGATCCAACGGGTCAACTTGGAACAGTATTACGTATTGGCTTTTTAAACGAATCAGTAAGATATGTTTTTGTCCTACGTTATATATATATATATATATATATATACGAATATGCTAGACCTAACTTCACAGAAAAACCAATTTACTCATTAAAAGTGTCATTACATCAATATGCTTTATATTAGAATAATTTATTTTCAGTACAGGGTTGCGGAGATTGTTGAATTTCATTAAAATCATGAACCGATTAAAGGTAGACAACCATTGAAAACTTGAAAGCACAAGATAGTTGTTTCGTCTTAGTGTTAGACTCCTCAACAGTATGCATCTGCGACACCGAAACCGAGAATTTAACCCAAGACTTTCGGTCTCGCACGCGAACACATAACCTGTAGATCACTGAGCCGATATCCACCAGTGTACAAATCTGACTTCACCAAAATACGACCTAAGGCCTCCTTTCGGCGCTGCTGGACAGTAGGGACAACCTCGCTAGCCAACTTAGGTGGTCGATGGTGATCGGACTGATCACCCACTCTGTTGTATCTTTGATCAACTCATATTCTACTCGAAGTTCACTTAACCACATCAGACCACCTGATGTATATGCTTATGTGCAAAGGAAACGTTAGCTGAAATATTGTTTGCCCTATGTCAAATAAAATTAGCGGCCTAATCTATTAGGTCGAAGACAATAAAAAGATATGGTAAAAAATACTAAGGAGAGGCGACCAATAACCTCCCCTGAAAGAATGCTAGTCCAAGTAATTACGAATCACGTCTGTTATGTTTCGATGCTAGATGTTTTAAGACAATTGGCGGAAATCTCTGCTCAGTCCGGATTTCATGTTATTTGACGTTCACCAGAAAAACTAATAATAGGGAATAAAGCAGTTGAACCCGTCGACTATTGCACTTAACATAAAAATCTCCTCAGCCCTGACGAAATCTCATCACAAATCCAAAAACCTCGGTTGGACATTTCCAACTTACGTCACTTGTGGCAAAGGCGAGATGTCGATCTACCAACGAAAGGACCATTTTACTGCAGAATACTTCACTCTGTTTCCTTTCATGGCGTTCATCGAGATGGTTCAAAGTCTTTCGTAATGACGCAAATGCATTCACTCTTTCGCTTACCTTAGATTCTAATTTTCTTTTCATTACGCAAATTTATTCTTTCTTGTCAACTCGTATTCTCTGTACCTAGTCTTTTGTACTGCCATGAATATTATCAATACTTATATGACTCTGATGTCCTACTTTACTGATATAGTGTCGCAACTTCAATCGATCCGCATATATACTAAGTTCTGCGTTCCGTATGACTTATTGATATCCCTGTTATATCTAGAGCTTTAGATTTTTGATATCCCGTGTACTAACTGAGCACTCGAACTCGAGAACCCTCCAAAAAGCAAGTTAGAAGATAGAAAATGAGTGAAAAAGAGTGTTATTCCAAATAATGTCAAATATGGTACAAAACTTTCAGGTATTTATAATTTTTAGTAAAACTGAATTCATCATTACAGTCATCCAATCCGCATACAGCGATTCTTAGCATTTGTCCAATAAGGAAGCTAAGCGTCGAGATTCTGGAATTTTCTTCCAAAAGATGATTGAGTGGACTGTCTTCGTCTCTTTCTGATCTTCCTTGAGTTCAACCGGGAAGCCGCCCTTATAGTCACAAAATTACAAAATGTATTGTCAGTCTTGAAGAAACTCATGCCTGTATTTGTGAGATTCTAACTCGAACTGTTATAATCAGCAACATTACCACCATTGAGTTATTCGTAACGTATCTCCTAATAGTCAACTACTCTTTGATACCATTGGAATAGTTAAACTTTTTATGACAGTAGTATATGTTTGTTTGTTTGTTTTTTTCAATAAAAAATAAACTTTTCTATTTACAACTTTATCAATTATTAGGTACAAGAGAATCTGGAAAAATATCAATCTCTTTATGATATTGTTTTGGTAAATGATGAGACTTTTGAAATTCCTTACAAAATTATCCAAAGTATTCTTATACATAATGAATAACAATGCGCTAAACATACATACTACATACATACATACATACACACAGATAGACATACCTACATACATACATATACATTATTATTCATATCCCTACTATAATTTTTAATGGAATCAATCTTACTTCATCAGATGAACATATTATTTTGTAATTGAGTGAAAATATTGAATAAAATCATTGTAAAATGATGTTTCTTTCATTATTTAATTATTTTCTATTTAAATAGAATTATTGTTTAAGTATCTTTAAATTGTATATCCCTAATTTCAATTTTCCCCTTACATACATACATACATACATACATACATACATACATACATACATACATACATACATACATACATACATACATACATACATACATACATACATACATACATACATACATACATACATACATACATACATACATACATACATACATACATACATACATACATACATACATACATACATACATACATACATACATACATACATACATACATACATACATACATACATACATACATACATACATACATACATACATACATACATACATACATACATACATACATACATACATACATACATACATACATACATACATACATACATACATACATACATACATACATACATACATACATACATACATACATACATACATACATACATACATACATACATAGATACATTGATACACATTGATAGATAGACAAACAGGTTGTGGTACATGTATTCAATCGTGATCTTCAAAATGTCAATCAATATTTTTAATGAATACAATTAAGAATTCGAATCACTATTGTTTTTTTTTCTTCTTTTTGTTTTTAGCATTTTTGTCAACATTTCTAATTTGTTTATAGTTCACTTCGTTCACCTGTTTGACTCCTTTACCACCCGTTTTTCTTTTTAGTACTCCTTTTCTCATAAAACCAAGAAAGAGAGAGAGAGAGAAATTCACCATGTTGAATCTTTTGAACAAAGAATATTCTACGTAACAATCTTAAATAGATCTAAGTATATTTAAAAAAGGAATGATAAAAATTAGTTTTTTTTTCGTTTGTTTCTATAGTGATAAACAGATTTTTTTTTAAAAGAATGCCAGTATCCTATTTCACTTTTCGTATTAAATTAAGCATATTTACTCCAACTGTGTTTGTATTTATTACGTTTGATTCTCTTCTATTTTTTAATGTGAAAAGAAATGATTGAAACTATCAATTGGAATATATATTTATATTTAATTAATATTGTCAACATTTTTATATAGGAAAGACAATACTTAGAATATAAGTGAATAGAAATATGATGAATCGCATATACTAGAATTCCGAAGCATTTCTCATATATCCTGTAACCACTGAATAAGTAATGCAGTTGTTAGGAAACAGGTACTAGGTAAAGATGGCAAATCAATTGATGAAGTAGTGAAACTCAATCATTTGAGATGGCTGGGACACGTGTTACGTATACCCAAACACCGACGTGTGATGTTTTACGATGTAGGAGTAGGTTGAAAGAAATCTAGGGGTAGCCAGAACATAACATGGCACAAATCCATGAATTCCCTGACAAATGGACTGAGCTATGTTGTTAGGTGTAGACTACCTAGTTGGGGTCCGCGAGATGATGGCAACCGATGGTTAGAGACCCTGAATGACATGGCTCAAAATCGTTCGCAATGGCGCAGGTGCATCCACTCTCTATGTTCTCTCAAACTCTAGTCTTCTGAATTCTTCATGTCCCTTCTTTTTTTCGCTTTCCAAATTTATTTCACTGGATTATACTCCTTGGACAATATCTTTAAACCCTAGTCGTTCCGATTACTGCTTATACCCTTACTACTTTTACCACTATTGGATTTGAATCGACAGTTGTATCTGTGTGCTAATGTTGTATGGCAACTTGAATTGATGTACGTACGAAGTTCTACGTTGTTACTGTCTGTCTGTCAGAATTCCCTAAAGGGCGATCGATAGGAAACTCGGGATCTAGGTTCTATGTTATTTGGCACTGTATAACAAGGTGCACTGGTGATCTTCAGGAAACTGATGTTCCCTGGCGGATTTGACTGCGTTTCGCCCAGCTTCATAATTATAAATGTTACCATTGCTCTATCCAAGCTGCAACCGACCTCCGGTAGGACTGTGATGATTGATCATTCAACTTGATCGATACAGTTCAATTAGCACTAAGAAGGATTTGATGTACATGACATTAGTTACTATTCAGTGATCAATCAATTGTAAAGAATTCATTGTTAGTCATTATCCAAAAATACCATCAAAATGTTTCGTGAAGTTTCATGATAATTGTTGAAAATCTAAGAATATCTCTCGACAAAGTTTTTAAAAGCCCGAAAAAGGACTGTAAACGTTTTACTATGTCAACACTGAATTGGACCTTAGAAGAAAAGTTTGAAAAAATGAAGGGTTACGTCTTGCCTTCTATATTTGGTGTCCTTCCGGGAGTTTCTATGATATCGGTATCATCTAAAAACTTACGAATACACTTGATTTTCTGAACATGAAGGAAAGATTTCACTAATGTTTTGCGCCTTTTCTCGATTGTTAAACCATAGTAGTCTGGGGTTGTGGGTGGTGAATAATAACTGTTAATGCAAAAGACTCATTAATAAGGCGTGAGTTCCTTTTACTTGTTAGTCAATTGTGTGGTAAACAATTTATAATCAGGGGAAGATTTGATAGTTTATTCGTCTTGTTATGAGACTCCCTTACAGTGTAGACTCATAACTCTACCAAGAGTTGAGCTTAGTGCTTTCAGATCAAGTAGTGGATATGTTGGCTTTATTTCACTGAGCTTGCTGCGTATTATAACAATCATTTGATCCCTCCTGTGGTGGCTTAATTTCCATACGATTAAACTCAACTAATGTTGAAATATTTTTCACTATTTAACTCGTCGGTTGAAGTGGTAATAAAACTACTTTATCTTCACAATTACTATTGAATTCACCATTTCGTTCTTGTTCCGAATTGCATGCCTAAAGGCATGTAGTAACAATCAGTTACAACATTTAAAATCTCATAACTGGACGAAGCAGTTGTTCTTTGCTCATTGGTTTCCTACAGTATCCCGATTGTTCTCAATACGTGACATCACCACCAAATTACACAAAACACTGAACCGATCCATTAGTAACCTCACTAAGAGTGATCAAGTAAAATTACATGGGAATGAACAGAATGAAAATAAGTAGTTACCGAGACCCGGTTACAAATAGCGATTGAATTTCTCAAAATTTCTTTTCTAGACACCAAGATTAAGTTTGAAACCAAATATTCTTCATACCTTATTAGCATATCGCAAGAAAAGGTATGTAAAAGTCTGTGGACCGTTACCTACTTAGATTATGCTTTATGTGTTCATCGAAATAATACGTTGACATTGATTAGTTGTACCGTATCATAGTAATAAAATAATCAATTAGAAACTCAGCTCTGAAATGTGCAATAACTCTGAATTCTTCAGTTAGAAGTTCATATTCATGTTAATCTGTACACTAGATATTTCTTTCGAAAATTATCCAATTTATATTTGGTTAAAAGCACCTTAGTAATTATTTCTATATAAACATGTTGGTTTAACTGTGAATTGTACCTTATCAATCAATAAATTTTGTACTGCAGTCAATTGTTTTACACAGTGTAGTTATGAAGTAATTGGTTTTGAAGTAGCCTATTGTGTACAATGTTGAGTCATTTAGACTGATGATTAAGGTGTGATGTGATCGATATAATTGAATAGTCACTGAGGACTACATCAAAAAGGGACAAACTATTCCCGTGTGAGTTCAAAGGTATCATTTATGAGAACATATAAAATAACTGAAAGTGAGATCATTTGAAATTATTTTCCGATGTTTATTTATTTATTTATTTGAACACATAAATATTGGTACAAGGGGGGCACCAAATATATATGCGCCACACAAAACAATGATAATTTGAAGAGAAGGAGAAAATATATATATATATATAAAAGTAATGAACGCGGGGAATTATAAAAAAAAAGGGAGAGAACAATGATGGGTAAAACAGAAAGGTACAATCAGAAGAAATCTTTCAGTTAAGGAAGATACAATCACTTTTTATGAAGAAAGTAAAAGAAGGTTACAGTAGGATCGCCACTGGCTTCTATTCTGAGCTATATCTAATAACGTCTCTAGCCACTGCGTTACACCGTCTCTTGGACCCCAACCAGGGAGTCGTGAAGGACCAACAGAAGCTAGCCCTTTGCAGCTTTCTTTCATACCACGACACCATGTCATATACTGACCACCTCTCCACTTTTCCCAACCAGTCCCAGAGTCGGCAAATAATGCACGAATAGGAATTCTCTGGGACGACATTCGTAGAACATGTCCAAGCCACCGAAGTCGATGTTTCAAGATGGTGACACCAATTTCATTATCATCTCTGTGACCGAACACACGATGCCGGACCTCTGCATTACTGACATGGTGTTGCCACTGGATGCCAGCAATCTTTCGGAGACAACGATGATCGAACACAGAGAGTCGTCTAACATCCTCAACTCGGAGAGGCCAGGTTTCACAAGCATAGAGCAAAACTGCTCTCACCGTCGCGTTATAGATCCGACCTTTTACAGCCAGACTAACATCACGAAGGCGCCAAAGATGGCCCAGATTGGCATAAGCCGCTCTGGCTTTCACTATGCGTGCAGTGAGCTCATCACTCACGCCACCACCAGCACTTATGCAGCTACCTAGATACACGAACTTCTCGACCACTTCTATCTGCTCACCGTCAAGAGTGAGTACATGATTAGAATCCTGCCAGTCTTGTAGGAGTACTTTGCACTTCGAAGGTGCGAAGCACATACCATACCTACGGACATTGATGACATCGTTCTTGATATTCAAATCTAAGAATTGAAATCATTTTACTATTTAATAAATATGAGGAACGTAACTTTGTTAATTTTTCGAGATTAGAAAAACAAATCGTCTAACCTGAAACTTCTTAGGAGTATGGTCATCAGCTTTCAACACTTATAAATGAGTTTTCATGCTATTTTTTTTAATAATTCAAAGCGTTCATTTTACAGTTTAGTCTGATGACTGTTTCCTTTTTTTTAAAAATGAGATAACAATTCATGAACTTTAAGTGAAACTGATAAATCTGTAAGTTGTCAACATCAGAATAAACGTACCAAACTTATGAAATTGACAGAAATCTATTAGCTATCTACAAAGAATGTATGTTACAAATCAAAAAACGCTTATAAGTAACGCTTTCGTTTTTTCTCATAAAATTTGTTATATGCCGATGATCAATGTTATATCCCGATGAGAATAATGAATGATAACTGTCGGAATATATTTCTGGACTAATACTATACGTATATTTCTATTATATAATATCTAGTTGGTTAAGCGCCTGGCGCGAGACTGATAGGTCCTGGGTTCGAATCCCGCGGGGGCGGGATCGTGGATGCGCACTACTGAGGAGTCCCATACTAGGACGAAACGGCCGTCCAGTGCTTCCAGGTTTTCCATGGTGGTCTAGCTTCAATTGATTCATGATTTCAACTATTGATATTATATAATTGTTAAATAACTAAACTATTCATATTCCTCTTATCATAAGCTCTATTTTGACCTATGAACTATTATTATACGATTTACCATTCTTGAGTTATGCCCTGTCTATCAATTACTATATTCCACATTCACAGCTAAATCTTGTATGAATGTTGTTTCCTATTTTATGGTGCGATGTGGTCTGTTTGGTTGGTATATAAACTCAGTATGTTTGAGATAAATGATTGATATCGCAGAGGTTGAGATTGGTGTTCTGGACTTAAGAGGCACGGTTAGGCAGGAAACAGGTCCAGTAGACTGTTCGTACGGGTTTTATTTGTGATTGATCCGGTCGATAAATCACTGTTCTCTAAATGGCTATATCTTTAAATTATAGATTAATAGAGCACAAGTTATAACAAATTACATTTTTGAACTAGCATTTCTACATATTAATTTGAGTAAACCCAAATTTAACTCTTAACTAATGGCAGAAAACTTAAAGTTATTATTACAAACTGTAAAACACGTTTTTTTTCTCAATTCGGCATTCAGTTGGGCACATACATGCATCGGTCCAAGTTGCCACACCTCATTATCACAGTAAGATGAACACTAAATTCATAGAAGTAGTCACTTCAATGTTGTAATGTATAAAGGAAAGATTTTATGTAAGGGTTTACTACAGAAAGAAAGAATCAATTCGTAGAAAGAAAGATATGAAATAATTTTAATCTCATAGTTTAAGGGAAGATAGAGAATGTATACACCTACGCGATTGTGATCGATTCTGAGCCATATCACCCAGAGTCTACAACCATTGGTTACGATAGTCACGCGTACCCAAACCAAGTAGTCTGTATCTACCAACATGGCTCAGACTAAAAGTGAGTTCATTTTTTCTCCAGTTTTATGCAATTTTTCACTAGTGTATTATAATTGAGAAAAGAAATTATAATACACTAATGAAAAATTGCATAAAACTGAATATTCAACCGACTAAAAAGATTTTTCATAGAAGTTAAAACTATCTTTAGGTGTCATTATATATGTAAATTATATTTGAAACAATCTCAGCGATTGAAATTTAAAATAATTCCAACGTTTCGTCCAGCCAACTTGTCTGGACTTCTTCAGGGTAATAATCCTGAAGAAGTCCAGACAAGTTTATTTTCACCTTAAACCTATCCTGGTAATATTAGTTCATTATCCAGTATGATGTAATTTCAAATTGTTTTTAATATTATTTTCTTAATTATCTATGTACCCTCTTACTCATCATTTCTAGTCTAGTTGACCTTTTATTTTTACATATAAATATTCTTAACAAGTGTATTATGTGTGATTAGATTGTTCGAAATATATTGCGTTAATAGATCATCACATAATTCTGATGATCTTCATCTTCCTATTACCCTATCGAAATTTATCAAAAATATAAATAGGTATAAATTTTTGTTAAATTTAATTGAGATCATAAGTCAATTGAAGCTAGACCACCATGGAAAACGTCGAAGCACTAGACGGCCGTTTCGTCCTATTGTGGGACTCCTCAGCAATGCGCATCCACGATCCCGCTAGCGGGATTTGAACCCAGGACCTACCAGTCTTGCACGCGAGCGCTTAACCTCTAGACCGCTAAGCCGATATCCAACGGTGTTGACAATGACAATGGTGGATGTGTCGCTCGATTTCGTGGATTAGTTGAAGTTAGACATTAACACCGTTGGATGCCGGCCGGCTCAGTGGTCTAGTGGTTAAGCGTCCGCGCGCGAGAGTGATAGATTCTGCGTTCGAATCCCGTGAGGCGGGGTAATGGATGAGCACTGCTGAGGAGTCCTACAATAGGACGAGACGGCCGTACAGTCCTCCCAGGTTTTCCATGGTGATCCAGCTTCAAATGACTCATGATCTCAACTATTTAAATCACTACAATCTCCTCAAAACCCATTCTGATACAAATTTAATTGACACAAATATCAATAAGTTGTACCATTGTTAACTTCACTACACATATGAACTTTTAAAAAATTGTCATTCTTTTATTAATTTCAATTTACTTTGTGAAACTTTGGTTTCAAAAAGTCGTCTAAAAGAACTAATTAGTATAGTAAACTCTACGTGGAGCAACTATGGAGCTACTGCATGTCCAAAGCCCGGATAAAGTAGGAGGGTTAGGCATGGGGTTAGCGACCCCATCTCGTAGAAAACTAGCTCGTTAAAAACAGTAACCACAAAAAATTTATTCAAACCATTTAAACTCTGTTCTGGGAGTTAGAAGGTCTTCATTTAGAAGAGTTATGCTGCATCATGATAAAAGCCGAGTTCTTTCAGAAGTCACGAGTTCGATACCCCTTCTGACAACCAGAACAACCATTTATTTAGGTACATGGAATGCTCGTACAATATGGGAGACTGGTAGAGTCTTTCAAATCGCTGCAGAATTAGTATAATGGTTGATGGTAATCTGACTGAAGTTAACAATTTCAAACTTATTGAGATTCTAAGCTATCTTTCATGCTGCGAAATCTAAAAATCTTCAGGGCAATCCACAATGAGATCACGTAGATGTACATTACCAATAAAAGTCTTACAGTATTATAAAACAACTGTCCTTAATTCATACCCAGTTTGTAGAAATTTCATTAAAAACACACTGTAGAATTATCATTGTAATTCTAAATTTGCACTTTACTTTAGTGTGACCTTTGTAAAACATGTTCACATGGTCTCTATACATGGCAGCATCACAATATTATAAATAACCGTGTTTATTTAAGAATTCATAAAGCTTAAAGATCATGATTATGTATCACATTATGTAATAGGCTTAAACACATTATTCTGGTTAACTTTATAACGATACGTAAATATTTGATTGAAGCATATTGAATAAGAAAAATCGAATGTAATCAACGTTATGTAACATAACGTTATGATCCGATATATTTGATATTATATATATATATATATATATATATATATATATATATATATATATACATATGTTCGATTGGATTATTAGAAAGTTATAAGTATCTGTTTCATCTTTGTTAATAGTTATAAGCAAACATGGATAGCAGCTAGCAGTGGAATCCAATACGCACCTTTCGTCTTATTCGGGACTCGTCAGCTGGATGCACCTGCATCGCAGAGTTGATGTTCACTCCGAGACTCGAACCGGGTACCGTTCGCTCCAAATGTCATGGCGTTATCCGCTTAGCTACTGAGTTCAGATAGCCACTTGCTTGTGCAATCGGGTGAAGTGTGAACTCACTTAGTGTTGTATTTACTTGTATCTTCCCATTGATGTTTAGGACTGCAATTGACCAGTCTCTTATTTGCATATATGCATACTGTGCGTATTGCCCAGAGTGAAAATAAACTCTGAGATGCCGGTACATCCAGCTGACAAGTCCCTAATAGGACGAAACGCGCGTCAAACTGGATTCCACTGCTAGTCACTATCCATGATTGCTTACAAAAAGCTTGTAAATTAAGGCAATATCGAGGAAATCCGCACAGTATGCACATATGCCAATAAGAGACTGATCAATTTCAGTCCTAAACATCAATGGGAAGATACAAGCCAAACAATACCAAATGAATTTGGTAATAGTTATTAGATAAATATATTTAAAATGTTTTAGTGGAATACATACTGTTTAAATACCAATTACAAATAACAATAACATTTGAATCCTGATCAGATTAATATAATAAAACTGATATCAATCGTAGTAATAGTTTTATTATGTTGAAGAGTTAATTGATCCAAAATAAAGACGATCTACTCAAATATCTGAGCTACCTATTTCTGTCATTTAGATATTTCACCAAGTTATTTGTATTTTGTTTGCTTCAACTGTGGTGGTCGGTGTTCGATATATTCCTTAAACTCCGTATACAGTTCGTCTCGGTAACCGTCACCAAATAATGCTCCAACGGTATATTAATCAGAAGGCGAATACGAAGCGTTAATTACGTTTATTAAGGGACCACACACAGATATCCAAAATTACAGATGCGTTAAGCAAGCATGAAATAGTTGTGCCGAAAGGCAAACAGGCAAGCGAGCGAGAGAGAGCAAGGGCAAGAGCGAGCGATCGAGAGAGTGAATGAACGAGCGAGCGAGTCATGAATATGAATAACATGGACATATATATACATAGTGAAATGAATGAATCATCGAGTCAATTAAGCGGTTAATAGTAAAGCTAGTAGCGTGAATAAATGCGTAGGCAGTAAGGCTTGCCGAGCATACATATTCATACAAGGATAACAATAATAAAGGTACATACATTCGCAACAGTAATAAGGATACAATAAGTTATTATTGTGCAGGTGACTTTGTCCGTTTAATAAGTTAATAAAAGGGCTTAACCGAATTAGGTGAGAGCAAACTCAATTGAACGTGAGTTGCTATACAACACATCATTAAGTCTAATAGTCGAATAAGCTATTCAAGTACGTTTTTGAAAAGTTCACAACTTTTCACTGTGCAACTTATAAAAGTACTTAATCAGAGACATTGTGGTTGTTGGTTATATCCATCGAAATGAATGTACATTAGTCAGATGTCAATTTTCTGAACTGCTGATATCTAACTGGCAACCATTCAATATTTATCACAAGGATCAATTAAGAAATAAGAAACGGAATCATGTTGAAATACTTTGTGCTGAGAATTCTATATTGTACAAAATATATAATATTGAATGAAGCTTATAATAATAATAATAATAATAATAATAATAATAATAATAATAATAATAATAATAATAATAATAATAATAATAATGGCTGATAGATGAAAAACAAAAAAAATATTTACATATTATCAAATATAATGTAATTTAGTAGCTTTTTAATGAACAAGAACACAATTAAAGACAATCTAATATGTCCGAATATAAAATGACAGAACATCATACTAAAATCGAAGAAACATGAAGTAAATACTTCATTTGCAGAACATCAATCAATCAATCAATTTCAAACTGGACTATTCCTTTTATAAATATCAGTCCATCATCTCAGATTTCATTGTTTCCGCATTTTTTTTCTTCATATCAATTACTTCTCATTCTCGTTCTTTCTTTCTTTCTTTCTTTCTCGATCTTCTACTAAAATACATTCTATACTTGACAATCATTATATACTACTTATGTAGATATAAGTAGTTTACAGTATAATTTAATGAATATTATATAATTTTTAATAAAATAAATATAGGAATTAAGAAAAAATTTATGAATGAAGATAACCAAAATATTTTAGAATATAATTTTTTATAATACAATAATTGTATAGAATGTGTTGGTCTATAAACACCACAATCTAATGGTGATAAATAATTATGAATCTTAATAAATTGATGATAAGTTTTAGTTAATGAAATAAATTTATAAGTTTTATTCCATTGTTTTAATCCATTCACTTTAGATATTAATTGAATTGAATTATTTATATATGAATTACATGGTGAATTAGTAAATCCTATCTAAAAATACATATATATATATATAAGATTAGGTTATGTCAGTATAAAATGGATACTATAAAAGAGTTTGTCAGTCAATCAGTTAGTCAGTCAGTAACAATGTGGAACTTTGTATGTACGTACATCAGTTTGAGTTGTCATTACCACATTAGCATACAATTATTATAAAAAAGTGAACATGTATATTATGCGAGTAATGAATTATGACATAATATTATAACTATGGTTGTATTACTATTAATATGAAGTTTCTGATAGAATAAATGTTTCAATTGTTGACATCATGAGTCAATTGAAGTTAGACGATCATGAAAAACCTAGAAGTACTGGACGGCTGTTTCGTCCTAGTTCGGTACTCCTCAGCAGTGAGCATCCATGATCCCGCCTCGCGGGATTCAAACCCAAAACCTATCATTGTCGCGCACGAGTGCTTAACCACTAGACCACTGAGCCGACTGACATACAACGATATTAATGTCTAACTTCAACTAATTCATGAAATTGAGTGATACATCCACCATTGTCATCAGTGAGTTACTATCTCACAACAGACCCAGTTGAACTCCATTGGTCACTGGTTCTCACTAGAACTCGAGGAAATACCTTTTGAAGTCAGTCTTTAGTGAGCATATGTGGATTAGTATCAGAAGGGGTTTTGTGTAGATTTTAGTAAGTGCTCTCGCACGAAACCATTAGGTCCTGGGTTCAAATCCCGCTAGACGGGATCGTGAATGCGCACTGTTGAGGTATCCCACAATAGGACGAAACGGCCGTCCAGTGCTTTGAGGTTTTCTATGGTGGTCTAGCTTCAATTGACTCATGATCTCAACAATTGAAATCACTGAAATCTCCACAAAACCCCCTTCTGAGAACGCATGTTGTTGTTCTTTAAACCAATGAAACTACTACAATATACACAAAAACCTGTTTCTGATATTAATCATCATATTCTCACGAGTGACTGAATTCAAGAGGTATTTCCTCGAGTTCAAGTGAGAAGCAGTGATCAGTGGAGTTCAGCTGGGTCTGTTGTCAGGTAGTAACTCATTGAAGACAATGGTGGATGGTAGTTAAATTTTGTGGATTGGTTGAAGTTGGTTGCCAGCTGGCTAAGTTGTCTAAAAGTTAAGCGTTCACGCGCGAGACCGATAGATCCTGAGTTCGAATCTCGCGAGAGGGATCGTGAATGCACACTGCTGAGGAGTCCCACAATAGGACGAAAGGGTCGTCCAGTGCTTTGAGATTTTCCATGGTAGTCTAATTTCAATTGACTCATGAATTCAACTGTTAAAATGTAAAATCATTTTAAAAAATCACCCATATTAGCTAAAGTGTTCTCTATCATGAGGAAAGATTATTGACTTGTAAAGAGTTTTACAATTTAAGATTAAGTTTTTGTAGTTCACGTCTTCACACTTTGTTTAAAATCTAACACGGTTAGAAATAAATGAAAAGAAATTATTTTCAATATTATAAACCAGATCTTATTTTGGTACAACTTAGTTTACTGCACTGGTCAAATCTTATAAGATTTAACAATAAATATATCATTTTCTCTGCAAACGTTTGTAGTAATTGTGACTTAATACCTTAGTAGATAACATGCTAGCGTTCGAAGTAATGGGTACTAATTTTGAATCTCTGTGTAAATATAAACACTACAGTATGAGTCCAAAACAGAATGAAACATTTGTCCTGAAATCCACCCCTACCTATCCTGTAATTTATAGTTGATTTGTTACAATTGATTGATCACTGGGTGGTGATCAATGTCATGTGTGTCAAGTTCTTCTTAGTTCAGATCGAATGCTGTCGACCAAGTTGCAATGTGGCCACTAGTCTAGGTGACTCGACACTGCGGTCGATCACGCCCCGGATAGCTCAGTGGTAACGTCTCTGACTGTGAAGCTGTGTGACAAGGGATCAAATCCGTCAGAGAGTACCAGTTTCCTCAAGATTATAGGTACACCTTGCTGATGAGTGCCAAGTAGCACGAAACCCTAGTCCAGGGTTTCCAGTTGACTAGACATAGTTAAACTAGTTAGACAAGTAGCAATAAGTTATTCCTGATTGATTTATAAACAAATGATCCATCAAAATACCTGCATATTTTCTTGATCAAATATAGTATAGTATGCTTCAAGAAATACTGAACCCAATATTGTATTTCTATGCGTTGGTTGTATAGCAAAAGCAAAACAATCTCTACTTTGATTATTTTGATTTATTCGACCAAGATACCTAACATATTGCTGAAATTAAAAAAAAAATAGTATGTGTATCATTAATATGCAAACTAAAAATGGTACAAAATATGAAGTAAAATCACGTCTACAATCGAATTGAATTCAGTTTCATTACATAGAGATTCTATTTGATCTATTATGCATTGATTGCAGAGTATACTACCACTAACATCAATGATTCTATTCTTTTGTTACATAAGTGAACAATTTTTGTTTCTCTATGTGCATGGAATGTATAACATAGTGACTTGAAATATTCAGATTCTTTTCTTAGTTCTATATCGTTTATAACTGACTGATTTTAATTGAATAGTTGTATTTAATTACTTCTCTTTATTAAATAGTCATTGATAGTTGTTTAAAGTTTCATGAAAAAGTTAATCACATAAATTATGAAGCCAATGAAATTAACAGGAAATAGATTAGATAAGCCCATAAATGCTCTAGTACGGCAAGGGGTGGGGAGAGTTGGCTCTCCTTTTCGAAATGCTCTCTCACGGCCACAAGTATACAGCCACTGACAGGGAAGTTCTACTCACTGTCTTCTTGTAGCGGGGTTGTTGTCTACGAAATGAAGAGGACGAAAAGCGAATGTCCGGTGATTTAACCGGGTTGGTGGGCACGGAGAGTCCACATAGGGGAGTTGGAAAATCCTGATTCCAAACTAATGGCGCATATGGACTCCAGGATCCTGAGGGAACAAATGATGCATGAACCAATCGTTGGTCACCGGCTACCATGGAACTGCATCTCCTAACGTTGCTCCATTCCCTTGTGGATCAAACCTTTAGATCAAAGCCTTCGGGTGTGATTCCTCTAAGAAAACCACCGACTTCGGTCTGGGCACCCGAACAGTATCCCGGCCCTCGCACAAATCAAGTGACTTATGTAGAGCATATGTATTTGATACCCTTTTGTAGCAATATTCATGTGTTCAAATAAATAAATAGATAAGCTATTATGACTTAAGAGAAAGTGAATTATACGTACATAGGAAATAAAATTGAAAACAATTTAATGTTTATTCTTAATTGCCTATTATATATATATATATATATATATATATATATATATATGTTGGTTATACATGAATAAGTAAATGTGCAAAGTCCTATGACATAAGAATATGTTCATGTTATTAATAGATTAATTTATTATCCATGATAAACATAAGTTAATCACTAACTATTTTGTTGTATAAAGGAAGTTATAACAATTACAGGTTTAAGGTCAAAAAGAATCAATCAACATCGAGGTGTATAAAACAAGTTGTGAGTAGCATGTGCAGAAATTCAAACACTTCACTTCTATCTGAATTTTGTGCTGATGATGTCATTCAGTAGAACGATGAAAGCATCACGACTAAACCATCTAACTTTAAACATCAACATTATGGAATATTGACTTTTATTTTTTTAGTCAATTATTTATCACAAGAAGAAGAATGATCTATAATATTAAATACATATTACTAAATTCTTTTTTTAGAGTAAAATTTACCATTTAAACAGTGTGAGAATGGCCCACAGATGAACTTAAGGAAGCTCTTACATTATAGAAACTTATCAAACAAACACTAAATGCTTTAAATTATTAAAATAATTTATTCCAATCTATATAATAATTAAATTAATTAAATTTACCTGAGGTGATAGTAGTAAAGATATGACTTGATTATTTATATTTCTACTTGATATTAATTGAAATTCAATCATTGGAAATAATCGATAAAATTTTTTTAATATTTTATTATGATTATGATTAGTATTATTATGATTATTATTATTATTATTATTATTATTATTATTGATAGGTAAACAATAAGCATTTTTACCAAGCCAAAATAAATTTTTATTTATTATATTTATATATTGTTTATTATTTATTATATATTTTATAAATAGAATATGAATTAATTGTTGAAAAATTTTCATTGGTAAATAAATATTTGTTGTTCCACTATCAATAATTGTTTTATATAAATTTAACTAAATACAGAAAAAAAAATTTTTAGAAAAAAATATTTAATTAAAGTAACATGAAAATAACATGAAAAAAAATAATTACCTTGACAACAAGTTTATATATATATATATTATTTTTTTAAGTGGAGGTTTCGTACAACCTCGCGAGGGAGGGGGGCGGGATCGTGAATGAGTACTGCTGAGGAGTTCCATACTAGGATGAAACAGTTGTCCAGTGCTTCTAGGTTGTTTATGGTGGTCTAGTTTCAATTGACTCATGATTTCAACTATTGAAATAATTTTAATAGTTGAATTCATGAGTTAATTGAAGCTAGATCATCATGAAAAACTTGAAAGTATTGGAAGGCCATTTCATCATAGTGTGGGACTCATCAGTAGTACGTATCGATGATTCCACCTCTTGAAATTCAAACTTAAGATCTATCAGTCTCATTTGTAAACTCCTAACCTCTAGCCTGCATCCAACGTGTTATATCCTAGCGAGGATTAAATTACGAATAACTTCTGAGATCTATTAATGGACTAATATCATCTATATATTCTTATGGTATAACTATTCAGTAATTAGATTGTGTTTATTCATATTCATCTTATCATAAGCTTCATTTTGATCTATAAATTTTTATTATACGATTTACTGTTCCTAAATTATGTTCAGTTTATAGACTGGCGTCTCCCACGTTCACAGCCACTTTTTGGCTTTATTGTGTATAAATGTTTTTTTTTCCTATTTTATGGTGCGTTGCGATCTGTTTGGTTGATATATAAACCCAGTATGTCTGAAATAAATGATTCGCGTAATGGGAGCTGTGTTGGTGTTCTGGACTCAGCTGAACGGGCTAGGCGAGCAAGGTACCAGTAAGGAAGTTAGGCTGCTCATACCGGTTGAAAGTCATTGGTTTAACACAGTGTAAAGGTCGTATAAGTCGTATTTCTATTGGCGGATAAATCACGTGGTAACTAGCTGGCCATAAAGACATAACACAACGATATTAATGTCTAACTTCAACTAATCCACAAAATTCAATTACACATCCACCTTTGTCTTCAGTGAGTTACTATCGCACAACAGACCCTGTTGAACTCCACTGGTCACTACTTATAACTAGACCTTCAGGAAATACCTCTTGAATCCAATCACTAGTGAGCTTAGCGTTTTTAAATGGTTTGAAATATTTTTTATGGTTACCGTTATTTCAGCGAGTAAGTTTTCTACGGGATGGGGTCACTAACCCCATGTCCAACCCTCCTTAACTCGGGCTTGAGACCCGCAGTAACCCTAGAAGAGTTACAGGCAGACTTAAGTATTTACTCAGCTTTATCAATAACAACAAAATTGAATGAATTTAAAAATAGCTTCATTGAAATTTAACTCAATCCTTTTAAGGCATTGTTTTCATTGTGAAACTAAAAATATTTGTGTTTCTTGTCAAAGAAAAAATGAATATAAATACGGTTATGAAACTTTAGAATTGAATGTAACACTTATCTACTGTACCCTGGTTTACACTATTTCTCTAGATAATGTCAATTAGTGATGAAATGTAACCCTAGATATTCTTCAATTTAGAAAATAGATATTACTATTAATATTTTAACTCTCAATTATATAACTGGACAATAATAACATTTTACTAAATTTTCTGTATAGAAGTGGATAGGACACACATTAAGGAAAGCACCCAACTACGTCACAGGACAAGCGCTCACATGGAATCCTCAAAGACAAAGGAGGAGAAGAGGACTACATTACGCCGGGAAATGGAGATAGTCATGAGAAGAATGAACAAGAATTGGATGGAACTAGAAAAGAAGGTCCAGGACAGAGTGAGTTGGAGAATGCTGGTCGGCAGCCTATGCTCCATTAGGAGTAACAGGTGTAAGTAAGTAAGCAAGTAAGTTATTATGAATTATTTCATTGAAAACATGAACTTGGATTTACCTCTTTGCAATTATCTACTATACTGTAGTCATTAATCAAAAGATTGGTCAGAATTATTTCATAATACCATGCTTTTCGAATAGGCGTGTAATAAACTGTTAATGGGTTAAAACTTGGAATTTTCGATGATGATATATTACTAGTAATATAAGTAGATGGCAAGAGGAGATTTAAATCTGTTCGACCAATGATTAGTTTGCCTGACATCTTTCGTGAATTCATATCTGGATCGTTGAACTACACGTGACAAAGAGAAAGATATTTAAAATATATTTAGTAATGTAACTTAGTTGATAGAATTTGATTAAAACAAAGAACTAAACTAATATTACACTAGTTACTATACTAAAAGTCTGTAGCAACATGAATGATTGGGTGGTTAGATTTTTGAATATGATACTGGATAATTCTGATTCAATTTAAACATGAAATATAAACTCCTTCAATATTTCAAATACGTTAACAAGAAACTTTGATCAAGCAGAGCTTCCAGTTAGTTATGTCCAACTGTCCAAAGTATCTAGTTATTTAAGTGCCAAATCACATAACTTAAACGTTTTAAACTTTTTGTTAGCTTCAGACAATCAACAATATAACTACATCGAATACATTGTACAGGTTCCTGTGTAATTCCAATCATAATAATTGGAACATTTTGAACTTGACGTCATAGCGCCACTAAGTCAATCAAAAGATCTGTATCTAATATTGTTATAAGTTGGGCTAAATTGTTACAAATACTATAGAAATCCCTAATTCTTTATATACTAACTTTCTTGGGAATGATCAAAAAGTCACAGATATATAGTATATGACAAGCCCTTTCAGTTATGTAAACATGTAAACTATAGTACTATGAACAGATAAAAATTGATTCAAACAAATGTCACTACAATAACATTAGTCATTTACTATAATCTAGACATTTAATTAGCTATTAAGCTGGCCCGTATGTATAAGTGAATGAGTGTCTATTATTTATTCTTATCTAATCTACCTGTAAATTTTCTACAGTCTGGAATAAACTACCACAATCTATCCGTACGATAAAAACACTCCCATTATTTGTTCGCTGCATCGATGCATACTGCTCCTCTGAAAATGCATTAAATATTCTAGCACCTGTAAGTGTATCTTAATCCACAAGTGAAATTATAGTAACTTTAAATGTTTAGTCATTCTTATTTGTGAATTCTTCAAGTAAAATCACTTACCTGATGTCACTTAACATTAAAAATGTCCCTGGCAACCTTAACTAATTTGAGTAATATCTAACATCAACAGTATGTCACTGTGTCACATGCCACATGTATTTTGGTAGACCTGATTGACATATTTCGGTAATTACTGCTTTGTTGTTCCATGCTCTCTGTTTTTGTTTTAATTTCTCTAGTTGTAGATAACTAACATTAATTCGATCTGGCACACAAAATCACCTTAATTACACCGTTCATAAATCAAAAGGCTGTCCATTTAAGAAAAAATTAAAAGTTCCCAGCTGATGCATTGAATTTCTGTAATACATATACTACCTAAACAATTACTGAATTAGTAACCTTAAAACTCCTAACACATGTTTGTTCTGTACATATAATGATACTATTTATACCAAATTGATCATGGTTGTAAAGTGGTGTGAATTCTGTAATTATTATTTTCAGAAGTCGGTTAACAACTTGTACATATGATTGTATTCAAACAATCTTCTTCATATTCTTTTGCCTTAAAACAATTCAAAATACTTTCTGATCAACTAGAATCTGTTGAATTCAACTAAATATATTGACTATATTTATTATGTAATCTGGATAATCACATAAATTGTCAATAATTTCCAAATCTGAATAAATATTAAAATATAGATTTTACTTATATAATTGATTTTACATACAAGTTAGGAGGTAAAGATTCTAGGTATGCTCAGTTTCAAGTAGTTAACGCATCTTTTTGATGTAGTAACTAATTAACTTAAGATTATAGCGAGACTATAATTTATGGATGAACTAATCACATATAAGATAACAGGTCTCAGATTTTGGCGCGAAATCCATTCATTCAGATAAATAGAGTTTTGGCATTATAACTGATATCAGTTCGTGATGAAAACCCTAATTGTAATTCTTAACCTTAACCATCAATTGTAAATCATAATTTGAATTCCTCACATTAATTTATAACACTCATTTAGTCCTAGTTATCAGGTAGACACTCTCAAGGTCACTAAGGCGTCACTTAAAGGTCGTCCATAAATTATAGTCTCATCGTAAATACTTCACAGTCAGTTGAATGAATAATATATGTAGTTGTTTAACATGTTTACAAATAGACAATGTTCGGAATGAGTTCTTTTAAATATTAGCAAATCTACTAGTTCACATAGAACACTATATGTACCTAAATAAATGGTTGCTTTGGTTGTCAGAAGGGGTATCGAACTCGTGGCTTCTGAAGGAACTCAGCTTTCATCATGAGGCGTGATAACTCTTCTAAACGAAGACCTTCTGACTCTCAGGGGAGATTTTAAAATGTTTGAATAATTTTTTCTGGTTAGCGGTTTTTAGAGAGTTAGTTTTCTACGGGATAGGGTCGCTAACCCCACGCCCAACCGTCCTCCTTTATCCGGGCTTGGGACCGGCAGTAGACCCCGGAGAGACTCCTGGGGGAGTTATAGAACACTATATACGTTTTTTTTTAGAAGTATCAATCATAGGTTAACATTTCTTGGCGCTTTTTAAATCGTAGATAACCTAGTTTTAACATCTCAATACATTATCTAACCAATTAGTTGATCTGTATTTTAAAAAAAGTTTGAGCACGCAATGTATGATCTACAAAAATCTGTACTTTAATTATTTCCGAAATCGCTTTGAATGATAATTAATAAACTGTAAGTTTAAATTCATTTTGTATTGTTTATTTGAACCTTCCCATTGATATTTAGGACTGCAATCGATCAGTCTCCTATCGGCATATGTGCATCCTGTATGGATTTCCTCGATATTGCCTTAAGTCATAAGCATTCTAAGTAAAGATGGATGGTACATCCAGCTGACAAATTTTAAAAAGGATGAAACATACCTCCCGGATTCCATTGCTAATCACTATCCATGTTTTGTTTACAATGTAAGTTTGTTTGCTTCGATAGTGTTTATTCATTTGCGATCATTTTAATGACAGATTAAATATTGTGAGTTACTTTTATTTGATTGCACTTCATATCAATTTATGAAGTCGTTTGTGAATTCATACAAACATTGAAAATTTTTGAGCTCTAATAACTGATGTCAGCCACATCCCCAATAAAATGCTGCAAGCACTGGATCAATTGTATGTTTTAATTTGAAGTATGAATATTTCGGTTTGTTTTTACTTCAAAATTTATGATTTGGGAATATGTAGCTTAGCTTAACTTCATTGATCAATCACCTTGGTAACTGTTAGTATATAAATCTCTAATGTTACTTGAATTCAGAAGGTAATAAGGAGAGCCTATTACAATTTATCAGCGGGTAGCACAGAACAAAATTATATGCACATTGAGTAAATTTGATGCAGAGAAGCGAATTTGTGTGTGAACAAATACAGAGGCAAATCTATAGTCAAATTGAATAAGGAGCAGTTAGGCAAGACAAAAGCTATTAATAGGATTCGAGCATATATATACGGGAAAGAGAATAACTCATCTAGTAATACTTAAGCTAGAGAGATAAATGTACAGGCTATCACATGTGATCTATTGTACAACCTTATACAGACATGATACTGATCATAATAGTACACAGAAATATACGAATTGTTACTGTCCATATAACATTGTTCATTAAATAAGTTAATAAAAAAGGGCTTGATTAAAGCCAACTCTAATCGAAATCGATTGTAGCTAAGTTATTATCAATCGGTCATACATTAACTTAAACTGATCTTAACACCCCTTTGAATAAAATAAAAATTAAATAAATTAATAATTTACCAATGTAGTTCCACATAATAATAATCCAAATTGTTTATGAATTTTCCATATAGAATTTAATTGATCTAAATATGTTAATTGATTTTTATTATTGATTATTTGATTCATTAATTGATTTCTCCAATTAATCAATAAATTGATTTGATTATTATTATTATTTTTTATTGATTTTGGTTTTATATAAATTGAATTAAATCCTAATCCAATAATTCCATACCATGTAATATTAGTATGTGATAGAAATACTTTAGTTGAATTAAAAATTAAACTAAATGACATTTGAATTTTATTATTATTATTATTATTATTATTATTATTATTATTATTATTATTATTATTATTAATTGAATAACGATTGATCATTGTTGTATCTAAGATGAAATAAAGAATGAAATGTTAATAGATATTTAGCTTATGATAAGTGTAATAAAAAAATTATTTTTCAGTATGAGGTTGTAAAGATTGTTAGGTCTTTGATTAAGATCATGAATCGATTGATGTTAGACCACCGTTGGAAATCTGGAAGCACTGGGTGGCCGTTTCGTTCTATTGTAAGACTCCTTATAAGTGTGAATCCACGATCCCACTCGAGGGATTCGAACCTAGGGCCTTCGGTCTCGCACGCGAACACTTAATTTACCTCAACCAATCCACGTAATTGCGCGACCATCTTCTATTGTACCTCAGTACCGAAGGATGTTGGTTCGAATCCCTCGAGTGGGATTGTGGATGAGCACTACTGAGGAGTCCTACGATGGGACGAAACGGTCATCCAGTGCTTCCAGGTTTCCAACGGTGATCTAACATCAATCGGTTCATGATCTCAATCAAAAACTTATTAATCTCCACAACCCCTATACTGATAATTGATTAAATGTTAGACTACCATTACAAATCTGAAAGTACTGGTTAGTTGTTTTATTATAGTATGGGACACAGGACATTCGGTCTCATGCGAGGACGCTTAACCTTTAAATCACTGAACCGGTATCCAATGATGTTAATGTTCAACTTCAAACAATTCATGAAATTACGTGACTATCTTCCATTGTCTGAAGTACATACCTGATATGGGTTAGCTTCATGAACGTTTCACAACAGTTTAAAGAGGACGAATAATTTTTAAAAAATGATGGAATTATGAAATTTAATACTAAACAGAATATAATTCACTATTACCTTATAGCAACTAAATTATTATATGATATGATGAAGCCTAATCTAATGAAATATGTAATCATGAATTTTTCATTTCATTGTCAAGGTAACAGCTGCACATAATCTCAAACTAGGCATCTAAGCAAAGATACATTTTTCAACGTAGCTATGATTATCATCTTTTTGATTAAGTTGATACATTTGAATTGTGCTTTGTAATATATGATATTAGCTACTATTCGATGATATAGTAGGATATGTCAGTTTTAAATAAGGCCAATTAATGCTTAAATATTTCAGTAACAATATCCCTCCAACAGTAATTGAAAATATTACCATTATTATGACTAAAAATACATTTTGCTGACCAGTACCAACTAACAATAACATTATGTCACATGAAATTTTCTGGTGATTGTCTCTAAGCGTTTAACACTGAAACAAAGTTCACTCCATGACATACAAAATAGTATTTTTATGGTAATAAATAGTTGAAGAAGATTGGTAGAAAGCCTTATTTGACCTAATATGAGTGTTAATTGCAACTTATCAGAAAGACATGTTTGAAATATTAGTGAAATTGATGTATTTCATTGAATATAAACTCGCGTAATCCAATGTTACAATCTGAGATATTACAGTCAAAGTACTCGATGGTTATATCTGTGAATATTGATTTCTATTAAAGATTTCAGGAACACATAGTTTAATTTCGAATGAAGAATTTCGCTAATTATTATTCTTTCACAGTCTATGCGATTTTGACACAAAAAAAAGTTTTACATGAATATTTCAACAGATTTGATTTTAAACAGACGATAATAAACAGTTTTGATATAACATTATGGGGATCAATAAAGGATAACGGTGTTATTTGTAAAGCAAGCACTTGCTTCCAAATGACTATCTAATAAATGTTATATAACGGTAAATTGCAAGTTTGTCTAAATATTTTAAATTGAAAATGTTCAAATTTCAGCAAAAGAATATGATAGTGTAATAGTAGGTTGGAAGAAATGTAGGGGCGGCCAGACCAATACATGACACAAATCCATGAAGTCACTGACAAGTGAACTGAACAATGTTGTTAGGTGCAGACTTCCTGGTTGAGATCCGCAAAATGATAGCAACCGATGGTTAGAGACCCTGAATGAAATGGCTCAAAATCGTTTGCAATAGCGCAGGTGCATCTACTCTTTTTGTTCTCTCAAATTCTAATCTTCTGAATTCTTCATGTCCTTTTTTTTTCCTATTTCCAAATTTATTTCACTGTATTATACTCCTTGAATAATATCTTCAAACCATAATCTTTCCAATTACTACTTATACTCTTACTACACCTCTACCTCTATGGGATTTGAATCGGCATTTGTATCTGTGTGCAAATGTGGCATAGCAACTTGAACTGATGTACATACGTATGAAGTTCTACATTGTTGCTAACTGATTGAAAAGAATATTTAAAGTATTAGTTCAATATACATGAACATTTTTTAGAAAAATAAATCATTTTTAATGTTTTGTTTTCTTACAAAAATCAATTACATACCTTGTTTATTTGTAAAATCAAATTCATCTTGACAATAAATACCAGACCAATAACCTTTCAAATAATGTACATGTTGAATTAAATGGTCATTACATTTTAATGTAGATGATTTAGTAGATTTAAACCAATTGTCAACATTTGTTAAATTTCTACCAGCAATTGCCAAGTTACTACTACCAGTATCAACAAGTAATCGTATCTACAAATAAATAAAACATGGAGAACTACAACAACCACCATCAAGAAGGTACAAGTATTTATCAATAGCTGTCTACGCAAGATACTGAAACATCCATTGGCCGGATATCATCAGCAACAGCCTTTTGTGGGAGAGAACAAAACAGCTTCCAGCTGAAGAAGAAATTAGGAGAAGACGATGGAAATGGATAAGACATACATTACGCAAAGCATCAAACTGCATCACGAGGCAAGCCCTAATTTTGAATCCTGAAGGAATTTGGAAAAGAGGAAGGCCAAAGAACACATTGCGTCGGGAAATAGAAGTGGATATGAAAGGGACGAATAAGAACTGGAAAGGATTGCCCAGGACAGAGTTGGATGGAGAATGTTGGTGATTGGCCTATGCTCCTTCACGAGAAGTAACAGGCGTAAGTAAGTAAGTAAGTAAGTTATATACGGTTTTGGTTAGTTACTGATAAAGGGTTTCGAACTAGGAATTAAAACTTTTTCTAGTATATTTTACTGTCAATGATTACCCAGTTGATTTAAGTACGTAGAAAAAATAAAGAGTTTAAAAATTCTAAAGAACTAGTCAAATGATAATACTAAAATGAAATAAAAAGTAAAATAATATAATGGAATGAATATGTCACACATAAATAAGGAGTTCAAGTTAGATTGTTTCATTGGTGAAGCCTCTATCTTACACATATTCCGCTAATATAAAAGTAAATTCTAACAGATTGCCATGTTGAAGCGATTACAAGTTCACTTGGTCTGCGAACGGAATAAAGACTTATGACCATTGACCAATAAACTAGCTATTCTATTGCGTCCTAGCCCCGCTAACTAAAGGAAGAAGTCGAAGTTTGGAACGGGGATGTATATTCCGCAAAAAGCCAGAATCACATGCGATAGCAACAGACATAAATCAAAACGTATATATATACAGCACAAAATCGTCCTTGGGAAGCGTTAAAAAATAACATACTAAAAGACCCAATGGACCAATAGCGTTTAAGATTCTCCCAAGTGGGAAATACAACATAAAGGTGAAAAGAGCGCTTTTGGTGTGAAAACAAAGAAGTTCAAATTTTCAAAATAACATTACAAAATTAGGACCTTTTTCAAGTGAGTTCTGGGGATCTAATGTCCCCAACAATACTCCATCTATAAGCAATTGCTACCTCTAGTAGGTAATTTTCAAAGATAATTCTAGTTCATATTCATGAGACATTAAGAAAAGGAGTTATTAATTAACTTGCATTTTCTACTTTTCATGACCAGCTAAAGTAGTATTCACTGACATATCTAGATAGAGCATTGATTTCGGAACTAATGAAATCTTCTTTATCAATACCCATTAACTAACAATTTTAGCAACCAAGTATTCTAAAGAACCAGTTCATCTTTAATATTTTAAGGAATCAGATGTCAGTATAGGATTGTGGAGATTATTAAGTTGTTGAACCCTGGGCTCTAATTCCACGAGGGAGGTTTTGGATACGCACTGCCGAGGAGTCCCACAATGGGATGAAACGGCCGTCCAGTGCTTCCAGATTTTCAATGTTGGTTTAACATCCATTGGTTCACGAATCAGATATTAACTGATAAAGATCATCTGAAGCTAAATAGGATAAAAATTATTTCTCATAGTTCTTGACAATCAATACACTCCAACTGATGCCATTCAATGAAGAAAGTTTCTTATTATTCTAAGCAATCATCATTTTATAATGAAAGAAAATTGTATGTATATATGAATTTGATATCACTGATCTAATGGAATGTGAACTATCTAACTGAATAATTGGATAACAAGAAATAGCAAAATGACAGTAGTTTCATAGAGTAAGTTAGATACATTGATAAACTAAAATATTCTAAACAGAAACAATTATAAGCAAAGATGGATAGTGGTTAGCAGTGGAATCTATGACTCGCGTTTCATTTTATTTGCGACTCGTCAGCTGAATCAACGTCAACTCTGCGATTCAGGTACATCCAGCTTCCCAAATAACAATGAGAAGATACAAGTAAAACAATAAGTGAATTTAAACTTCACCCTATTGCACAAGAAGGTGGCTATCAGGACTCAGTAGCTAAGTGGATAACGCGATGGCGTTTGAAGCGAACGGTACTGGGTTCAAGTCCCAAAGTGAACATCAACTCTGCGATGCAGGTACATCTAGCTGACGAGTCCCAAATAAGACGAAAGGTGCGTATTCGATTCCACTGCTAGCTACTATCCATCTTTGCTTAAAAATCTTGTGACTTGAGGCTATATCGAGGCAATCCTCACAGGATGCACATATGTCAACATGAGACTGATCAATTGTAGTCCTAAATAACAATCGGAAGATACAAGTAAACAACACCAAGTGGATTTAGCGACAAATATATATACGAATATTCGCCAACATTAGAACGAATAGTTTAATAAAAAAGTGGGCGCCCAGTGTAGAGTAGTCATTATATGTAAAATATTATATTTGAAATAATCTCAGTGATTAAAATTTAAAAGAATTTCAATGTTTCGTCCAGCAAACTTGTCCGGACTTCTTCAGGGTAATAGTTACAATCATGATCAACAAAGAGATATATGTAGCATTTAACAATCAAATCAAATCTATTGTGTGCTAATCCAATCATATTTCGATGTTCACCTTAGTAAATAGAATCACGAACATTTGACATAATTCCCATTTAACTGATTCATGTTATTCTATTTACTAAAGTCAACATCCAAATATGTTTGGATAAGAACAGTATAGAATTGATGTGATTTGATTGTTAATATGTTATATCATCATTCTTTGATGATTTTGATTTCGATCATTATCCTGAAGAAGTTCAGACAAGTTTGCTGGACGAAATATTGGAATTATATTTGAATTTTAATTAGTGAGATTATTTCAAATATAATTTTTCACATACAAAAAGCAATGACAGTTACTTATTATTGATGATAACACAATTTAATTGAGAGGTTATTCATTAACCTTTGGAATTAAGATTTAATTATAAGGCTTTTAATTATTTTTGAATATCAGAAGGGTTTTGTAGATATTATAGTAATTTCAATGGTTAAGATCATGATTCAATTGAAGCTAGACCACGATGGATAACCTGGAAACACTAGACGGTCGTTTTGTCCTACTATGGGACTCCTCAGCAGTGCTCATCCACGATCTCGCCCCCCTGCGAGATTCGAACTCAGTACCTATCAGTCTCGCGCGTGAGTGCTTAACCACTAGACCACTGAGCCGACATGTGTCGCTCAATTTCGTGTATTAGTTAAAGTTAGACAATAACACCTATTTTTAATAGTTGAGATCATGAGTCAATTGAAGCTAGACCACAATAGAAAACCAGGAAGCATTGAACGGACGATTCGTCTTACTGTGAGACTCCTCACTGTTGACTGTTTTCAAGAGGTATTTCCTGAAGTTCTAGTGAGAAGTAATGATCAGTGAAGTTCAACCAGGTCTGTTGTGAGGTAGTAACTCACTGAAAACAATGGTGGATGTATCACTCAATTTCGTGGATTGATTGAAGTTAGACATTAACACCGTTGGATGCCGGCTAGCTCAGTGGTCTAGAGATTAAGCGTTCATGCATGGAACTGATTGATCCTGGGTTGAAATCTCACAAGACTGGATCGTGGATGAGCACTGCTGTGGAGTCGCATACTAGGACGAAACGGTCATCCAATGCTTCCAGATATTCCATGGTAGTCTAGTTTCAATTGATTCATGATCTCAACTATTAAAAGTTACTATACCCCTTCTAATTTTAATTATTTATTGATTATATTTATATTACAAAATTGATGATTATCATATCACATACCTTTTGATTTGGTTTACCAATATAAACTGTCATATAATATCCTTGTCCAGGTAGACCAGAAAGATTATAAATAATAAATGAAGAATATGATATAGAAGTAGATAAATATAAATTTTCAACAATATGATTCAATTCAATAATTTGATAACATACAATGATATAATACAATTGAATGATTCGAATTAATTTTAATAATAGATTCATTATTATCATTATTATTATTATATTGATTCCTTCTGGTTAACTGATCAGTAGACTATGCTTCATTGAGAGTACTAGGCGTAAATATGCAAGGAAGTAGGTAAGTAATTAGTATATTCATAATAAGATTGTAGCTTGTTAAATAAATAATCTAAAATTAAGAAAAAAAAAGAGGAGAAAAAAACGAGAAAAGAAAACACATTCAACTTTTACGGTACATTTGTGCACTTAAATATATAATTACTAATAAAGAAAAAGAAAATAAAAAAAGAAAAGAAGAAAGAAAAGAAAAAAGAAAAAACAATCATTAATTATAAATTTTATGTTTCTTTAAGAAAAAAGAATTTAATTCATGCACTTCGTGTTTTTTTAATTTTAATAAAATAATTTTTTAAAGTGTAATCTTATTTAATAATATTACTTAGTATAATATTCAACGATGGACAGCTCAGAACCAATTAGACGATTTCAACTTCGCAGATGATCTAGCTTTTCTGTCACATACACATGAACAAATGCAGATGAAGACAACTAGTGTAGCAGCAGTCTCTGAATCAGTAGGTTTCAACATACACAAGGGGAAAACCAAAGTCCTCAAATACAACACGGAGAACACCAACCCAATCACACTTGATGGTGAAACTCTGGAAGATGTAGAATTCTTCACATACCTGGGAAGCATTATCGACAAACAAGGAGGATCAAATGCAGACGTAAAGACGAGGATTGATAAAGCAAGGACAGCATTCCTTCAATTGAAGAACATATGGAACTCAAAACAACTGTTTGTCAAGCAATATCAAGGTCAGAATCTTCAATACGAACGTCAAGGCAGTTCTACTGTACGAAGCTGAAACTTGGAGAACTACAACAACCACCATCAAGAAGGTACAAGTATTTATCAATAGCTGTCTACGCAAGATACTCTACATCCACTGGCCGGATACCATCAGTAACAGTCTACTATGGAAGAGAACAAACCAGCTCCTATCTGAAGAGGAAATTATGAAAAGACAATGGAGTTGGTGGATAGGACATACATTACGCAAAGCATCAAACTGCACCACGAGAGAAGCGCTAACTTGGAATCCTGAAGGGAAACGGAAAAGAGGAAGGCCAAATTACATATTACGTCGGGAAATAGAATGAGATATGAAAAGGATGAATGACAACTGAAAAGTGCTATAAAGGATTGATCACGACAGAGTTGGATGGTGAGCACTAGTGGGTGGCCTATGTTCCTCCACGAGGAGTAACAGACGTAAGTAAGTAAGTAAGTATAATGTTCAAATAGTTTAATTTAGGAGATTAAGATCAGTACTAAGAATGTACAGTAAATTTCATAAATTAAGATAAAAATTTATTTAATATAATTTCTATACAACGATATTTATGATAGTAAAGAAGATTTATAGCTTGGTTAGATCATGTTGATAAAGCTTTACTTTATTTGAAATTTGTGCTGATAATATTGTTTAGAATAATGATGAAAGTTTAATGACCAAATCATTCAGATAGGAGGACAAAACTCTATTAATGATATTTGTTCATATTAAGAGTTTTATACTAGGACGAAACGGCTGTCCAGTGCTTCCAGGTTTTCCATGGTTGTCTATTATTATTATTAGTGGCTTTATTCAATATTATATTTTTGGTACAATATAGAATTTTCAGCACAAATTATTTCAACAAGTTTCCCTTTCTTGTTTCTTGATTAATTCCTTGCGATAAATATTGAATGGTCACCAGTTAGATGTTAGCGGTTCAAGAATCGACATCTGATAAATGTATATCCTTTTCGGTGCATATTGTCAGTAACCATGATGTCTCTGATTGAGCTCTTTTGTAACTTGTACAGCGAAATGTCGTAAACTTTTCACAAACGCATCTGAATAGGTTATGAAACTGATAGGAATAATGATGTGTTAAAACAAACAAGAAAACAGATAACTTGTTGAAATATCTTGATGGCAGGAACAGGTAGCCCAGATATTCAAGCAGGCCGCCTGATTTCAACTATTGAAGTTGCTAAAATCTCCATAAAACCCCTTATAATATAGTAGGAATTATTAATTCATATAAGAAAAGCGGTTAGCTTGAATATTTGGGTTACCTATTCCTGACATCTGTTTTGTTGTTTGTTTTAACACATCATTATGCCTATTAGTTGCATAACATATTTAGGTGTGTTTGCAAAAGGTTTACGAAATTTCATTGTACATGTTACAAAAGAGCCCGATTACAGACATTGTGGTTACTGCCAATATTCAGTGAAAATAATGTACATTGTTTAGATGTTTATTCCTGAACTTAGTCAGTCAGTTACAACGTAGGACCAGGTACATATATGGGTTGGTCCAAGTTGTCATACCGCATTAGCACAACAAGATGAACACCAAATTCATAAACGCAGTTAACTCAATTGCGTAATATATAAAAGAAAGGTTTTATGTAAGGATATAGTACAGGAAGAAAGATTTAGTACGTAGAAAGAAAGATATGAAACGATTTTATTCTCATAGTTTAAGGGAAGATAGAAAGTGTATACACCTATGCCATCGTGATCGATTCTGAGCCATGTCACCAAGAGTCTCTGACGATTGGTTACTATAGTCACACAGACCCCAACCAGGTAGTCTCTATCTACCAACATGGCTCAGACTAAAAGTTAATGACTTTCTGAACTGCTAACATTTAATTGATGATCACTCAATATTTATCGTCAGGATCGATCAAGAAATAAGAAACAGAAACATGTTGAAATACTTTATGTTGAGAATTCTATATTATACCAGAAATATAATATTGATTAAAGTCAATAATAATAATAATAATAATGATAATAATATAAAAATTAGGAAGAGTATTGAAATATTCATAAATATTGTTTTTATTTAAAATTGATATAACCTGGACAATCAGTGAACATTAGGAATAAGAAAATAGTTATTTCTTTTCTGTTAACTTTGCGTTATACTTCAGGAACTCATTGAGTACCTTCAACGCAATGGGTTGATCTTCTTAGCTGTTAGTTTTGTTAGTGAGTACTGTATTTTAAAGTCAGTGAATGAATTCTACTAATCTTTTCTTCTCAAAAATAATCTTGATAGTTTATCTTTAAGTTCTTCATAAACATTTCCATTATAGTTGTTGTAATAAGTTATTTGTGGCAGTTTTAAAATATTTAAAAGATGTTTTGCTATAGAACAAATAAAACGAAACCCTAATTAGTAGATTTACCACACTGACAAATAGAAAAGTTTATCCGCGTGAGTTCGATTCTATGTGGGTGGATGACATGGTAGTTGGATGGTGGATATTGTGCAAGTAGCACATACAATCACGATGCTACTCGTGATTATGGTATTGTTTGAAATATCAAGTTTTCGGATTGAACATCACTGGTCGTGTCTGTCAGTGTTTGTATGTGGAGAGTGGTTCGAGTGAGTATGTGGATGAGAGTGATGAGTTTGTTTGAGAGAGAAAAGCGTGGAAATTAGCTATTGCAATGTGGAAGTGCCAGCCATCGATCCCTGGCCCTCTCGTATGCTAAGCGAGCACTCTACCACGGAGCTACAGTAGATGTAGATGGACTAAAACATGTTACTGCCTGTTTTTATCATATCAGGAGTCTTAATGATATAAATTCATTCTTTCTTTGTCTTCTTGTAACCTTAGAGTCTAACCTTAATTTTTACAACAAATTTTCGGATTTAACTTGTTATCTGTGAATGTTATACTATACATCTTGCTTTTAACTGATATTCTAACTTTAACTAATTCACTCTTTCTATGTTGATATAAAGTGTAATAAAATGCTAAAAACTTGTATTAGCTTTTAAAACCTTTATAACCGAATTACAAAAGGGTAGATTACTTCTTTTGAAAGTCACGTTTCGGAATAGAATATATATACATATCAATGAATCAAATAGTCAATTCGGTGCATTTCTTGACGAATTGACATTAACTACAACTTCTTGTAGCGAATAGTATACACATACAAATCTACCACTTTTTGGATAGATATAAATATTTTAATAATTGAAATCATGAGTCAATTTAAGTTAGGCCATCATGGAAAACCTGGAATCTCGCGGGGGTCGGGATCGTGTATGTGCACTGTTGAGAAGTTCCATACTAGAACGAAACGGCCGTCCAATGCTTCCAAGTTTTTCATGGTAGCCTAGCTTTAATTGGACTCATGAGTTCAACTATTGAAATTTCTAAAACTCTCCACAAAACCCCTTCAGATATAATGATGTTAAATAAGTGAATCAGTCTTTTCCGAACAGATATTTTGCTATATCCTATGCATGTACATTTCTTATATGTGCCATTGTTATTATTTTAAGTAATTTTGCACTTGTATATAGTGTATATTCACAAGATAGATTTATGTGCACTTTACTTTTTTATGCTTATCTACTTGCTTGTATTGTACACGTTGTCTATTATATATTAATATACAGTTAACTTAATAATAATAACAACTCAAAAAGCAACACTATTTAAATTCTGCCTTATTTACATTTAAAGGTACTTTATATGAAAAGAAGAACATAGTAGCCAGAGTACTGCCTGTATCATAGATTCTCGCTAATATGTTCATTTCCGATATAGAATTGCAGATTTTAGTTAGTTCCATTAGACTACCCATTTAGCTGAGATATATAGATAACATTTTCACCTCTATGAAATACACTTAAAGGAAGAACTTTTCTAAACTGATAAATACTTTATTAGCTCACATATAATTCACTTTAGAAAATGTGAATAAACTCATTAAACTATCATTTTTAAACTGTTTAGTTAAAAGGAACATCTAAATCTAACCAACTGCCACAAACCGTTGCAGTTAAATAAACATATCGATTCCAACTAGGCATATCCACTGAATGTAAAAATCTGTTTAGCGCTGAAACGTATTCAAACAAGTGTCAAAGACCAATATATTGGAGAAAGAGAGGCAATAAAAGGACATAAAAATAACATCAGCATCT